TTTTTGGGTTTTGTTTTAATCCCCCCCCACCACCTCGGGGGGGGTTGTAATATAATTAAATTAACAACCCAGTGCATCCCCCCCCCCCCCCCCCCCCCCCCCCCTTTCGATCCCCATTCTCCAATGCTAGCCCTCGTCCATCTTTGGACGCTTGTGGCATGTCCTATCGGGTAGATTGCTAAAAGAAGCTAACTAACCTCCACCCGACTGCCTATATAGTATTTTAGAGAAGCTTTTCGTTAACCTAGCCAAGGTAGGGTAGGAACATTACTATAATACGCCCTCCTCCTTCTATACGCACACTTTCGTTAGATGTTTGGTATACCTGCAGTCGAATGGCTTCACAGACATAAGCGGACAGGAATACTAAGAGATTATTACCTACCTAGACCAGCGGCAAGGGTTTTCGGGATTGTAATCAGGTTAGGATCTGGTCAGGCGCTCCAAAACAGAACGTCCATCTCGCTTTCGGGATAACGTCCCGCAAAGCCGGGCAATTGGGGAAGTCGAGTTAAGCAAAGAAAAAAAAAGCAAAAAGCAAAACAATGCGTGCGTGTCTGCATTTCGAGCCTCAATACGAATTCAGCTCTAGCGGCCAAATGCCTTGACCAAGCAAGCCACATGGCAGCACGGCTTATTGTCCTAGTTGGGACATCGTCAGGTCTTGGGTAAGGGGTCTAAATTTTAGAGAGATGGAGTTCTAACTAGACCGCTAGACGTCCTATAGCTAATTTTTCGTTATTGAATGTTGGCCGATATAGGATGATACTGTACAATACAGATGCGGTGTAAGTTGCTTTTTTTCTGCTGTACCTCGGTATACGCTGGTTCCACCAAGTGTAAGTTCAGTTCAAGTGATGTGATGTGACTACCTGCGCGCCGGATTCTCGCAAACTGCAGATCCCCTTGGAGCTGTTTTACCAACTGCAGTAGAGCGTCTCTACACATAATAGTAGTTCAAACCCCAGATCTGGGGAATTTGGGGCGCTAACTCGTAAAGGTGTCCCCGTGGGAGCCCCGGATTTCTCGAAGGAATGGCATTGTCGGACCGCTGCGACGGCTCGCGAGAGAATAAAGCAAGCCACCGCAGCTGGACCGATAGTGCAGCTTCAAAAGGAACTTGCTAGCGGCGTTCGCTTAATAACTCGTTAACATCGAGCCATGTTAATTAAGCCGTCAGCAAGGCGGCGAGGTTCATGTTCCCCCCCAATACGCCGCATGGTGCATTTCCAGAGGATCAATCGCTCGATCCGATACGCTAGTGCTGAGCAGACTTTGTTGAAATCTCGAGCCTTCAGCTGCCCGTTCAGAATTCTAGACCGGTGGATCACCGTGGGCGGGATGGTGATGGTGCCATTTAGCCTGAATGCGGCAAAAATGTCTGGTCAGTTTATTTGCCGGGGCCCCATGTACAGGATGACCAGGGATTATATTGGCGGAAGGTTCCGAGGCAACGTAGGCTCTGTCAGAATTGCGGGATGGGTTGCAGTTCTGCAAACCGTACTATGTTGGCATGTGCCAGCCTAGCAGCCTCGTAAGTTAGCTCGACGAAGTCGTACATTGTATCACGATCAAAAAAAAGTACCTACGGAGGAGGAAGCCGGGAAAGTTGCTAGATAATCGTTAGCGAGCGTCGACGCGGTCTTTAGTGTTCAATAGATTATTTCTCTACGACTAGAAATCTAGACTATCAGCTGCGTCGAGCAGCAGTAAGGGAATACCAATCCTAAAGCATTATCATATGTAAAATCATCACTACGAAGCCACTCGTGTCCCAACAATCGGATGTGTTTCGTTGTCTATGCAATGATCAGGGGGAAGTTATCATGTGGCCTTTCCTATCCGAGTGTCTATAAGTTGAATATTGGTAACCTAGATAACTTAGAAAGGTGATCGAGGGGCGAAAGTTCCTATCGAAAAGGTCCCTAGAGGTACCGGGCTTAATATTTGATCTGGACTTATACTCGAGTCGAGAATGGATACAGCTATAGGTGACGCAAGGGAGAGCTGAACGAAGCACCATAACTGATTGGCTGCCTGGCATGCGATGCGCTCTGCTATTCCAAGGTGCTTGCTAAGGAAATTTATTTTCGTCGGCTGCATAAACCATAAACCAAGCGGCGCAATTTTCAGTCGGTTATGGGCTCGAACACAATTCAGCCTGACAGCAATAAATATCCGTCGAGTCCACATAGCTCCCGATATGAGGTGACAGCAAAGAGCTTACCGGCCGGGGATAATTCGCTCAGGGCCTGCATAAGTTTGAATATCAAAATGGACCGAGAAATTGCACCGAAGAGTGGATTCTTCCTTTATTACTTCCTGTCCAACGCCAGTCAATGCGTAACGCATTGCGCATTTTTGAGGTCTATTGCCTCATGTCTATCCGATCCGGAACGCCGGCTCGCCGTAATCCAATCGGTCCCTTAATGTACAGAGTTTTTTTTTTTCCTTTCTGGAAAGGGATCGTGATATCCTTTTTGTGCGGCCCGTCGAAAGTCTATACTTGAAATCCGAAGCCGGCCATACAGGTTCGATACTGATCTATGGTCGTCTTGCAATCGCTGGCAGGGTCGGTTGCTTTAGAGAATAGCATGCATTCGTCGCGCTTCGACTTTTCGTCCTTGCAGACACAGCAGGGCTAATAAGAAAATTTATTAGTATAGTCGTGACAAGTAAAGGTTATTGTTCTCGTACCCTCGGCTTTGAGGTCGCAACAGTTTGGGAGCCGGGGCTCAAAACGGGCTTGATCTCGGAGTTGGAAACCGAGGCTATATCAAGTTAGAAGTTAGCAAGAGACAATCGCTGATGGACTATCGGGCAAGTTTCATACGCATTGAGATGCTTTGCGACGCCATTGCGGTTATGCTCTTGTGAGTTAATGTTTATATAAGGGAACGTGGGGATGTATTGACAAAATGATTCAAAAAAAAAAAAAAAAAAAGATGGGATAATGGTATGACGCGATTTGTAATTGACAATTGACGAGTGATTACCTTAGGTACCTAGGCATAAAGATAACCGATAAGAACTCACAGTCATGAATCTTTATCTAAAGTCCGATCTTTGTATCACCTGGGCAGCTGGGTTAGGTAAATGTCGTAAAGATGGAGCATACTTGTGCTTATATAAGGCAATTAATTACTTCAGCTTCCGTGTAAACGCCACCAAAAAAAAGTTCCCAGGTTTCCGTTTTGGTACTAAACAACCCGGACAACCCGGACAACTCGGAATCAAGGTCTCCTAGACCATACCTATGACCAAGCTTTGATTGGAGACTACGAAGCTCTATCTATTATCTACTTGTTTAATGATATAAGGTAAATACAGGTATCTATATTAACACCTATATTAACAATATGAACACATACGGATTTCTTCTAGCCTCTTAATCTTTCGTAGTCTGAATCGGTCAAGTCCCATTCATCCTTACTTATATTGCACCTTTAGTCAGGTTGCTATGTTATTATAACGAGATATAGCAGTTGCGAATTGTTACTTAGGTACCTAGGTACTGGTATATGATGTACTTACCACTTTATATACCTACCTAGGTACCTAGGTATGCTCCTAGGTACGGTTGGTTACCAGCTGGAAGGATACCTGAACCTTGACAGCTACCTATAGGCTATAGGTACCTAACCTAGGAGGTAGGTAATTAGCGAAGACATGGCCAACCCCCCTATAGCAGCTAACGAAGAAGTGGGTACGATGACAGGGTCTATGATAGTTAAATCGAAAGAACACTGCATTCAGTACAGGCTATGTTCGGGCCTCTCTCAAAAGACCCTTCCTTTGAAAGCCTATATTCGGCATTCCAGTTTCTTATATTTACCTAATATATCATGTTAACTTACTCTACTAAAAACTCGCCCTTTCAATGGTGGGGAGGCTTCATGATTCTCTTCAACAAGCTTATTCTCCTTTAATACTCGGATTTGTTTCATTACGTTACCGACAAAAGACGGTCTGTTTAGGGGTATTTATATCAGAAAGTAAACATGACTACGAGCCTCCGTAATGCAGTACTAGCCGCACTCACAGTTATACCTACAGCCTATACTGCACGCGCTCAGCAGACATGTGCAGGAGATGTAGGGTGTACCTGTGAAGCCCTTCATAAAGCTTTAGCAAGCGTAAACGGAACCTTATTCCCTTCGGACGGGGCAACTTATAAAGATATCGAAGATGTGAATTAGTAGGCTATTTCCCCATCGTATACTAAGACATATCCAAGGATTAATTTGCCGTATTTTTAGTTCTGCCGCGTGTCGGTTACCTGCTGCGTGTATTGTCAGCCCGAAGAATGCACAAGACGTTTCTACGGCAATAAAAATACTCTCTGAGGCTGGGACCAAGTTTGCTATTAGAAGCGGTGGCCATAACTATATTTCGGGCTTCGCGAGTATCGATGAAGAAGGGGTTCTGGTTTCGCTCTCGAGCTTAAACTCTACTGAGCTATCGGAAGACAAGAAGACGGCTAAAATTGGACCTGGGAGCAGATGGCAGGCCGTTTACGAGACTCTTGTCCCGGAGGGTCTGGTTGTGGTTGGCGGACGTGTCGGTTCTGTCGGTGTTGGCGGGTTGATGCTTGGTGGTGAGTGACCGAGTGACCGTATCATGCCACTTATGACGGAGTGTATTCCGAAATAATCTAAGCTGACATGAACAAGGCGGACTAAGCTATTTTGCGACCCAACGAGGTCTCGCGTTTGACAATGTCAAATCATACGAAGTTGTCCTTGCTGATGGCTCCATTGTCACTGCTTCGGCTGATAACAAGTATTCGGACCTGTATAAGGGGTTACGAGGCGGTGCTTCCAACTTTGGTATCGTGACAAGTTATGAGCTTTACACGTACCCGGTTGATGACTTCTACGTTGACGCCCGCGCCTATAGTCTGAACCAGACCTCTGATTTCTTGCATGCCTTTGCAAAATATCAGGAAGAGGGCCAGTCGGATCCTTTATCAAGTGCTACTGGTACGTATTACGCAACCCCCAAATGAAAACCCAGGTCTTTTAATTGAAACTAACATTAAAATAGTATGTTTTGACATCTATTACATACATCCTCCTCTTTTGTTTTCTTTGGCGAAGTGTTGAGCGCCAGGCGTATGTGATGTATTAACGCATAACAGGTTCAATTGCTCGAAACTGGCCCAACTATCCTCTTGCTCTACAACAAGCCGGTACAGCAAGCTAAAGCCTTCGATGCCTTTTATTCCCTTGAGCCATACCAGCCAATCTTACCGGCTTTCAATGGTTCGCTTTTGGATATCATGGCATTGACGGGATCACGATTCTCGACTGGTGAAGTGCGCACTTATGGAGAAACGTTTACCCACAAGGCAGATGTTGATCTAATGATTGAGCTACACGATATTTTCACTGAGGAGACGAAGAACCTTCCCACAGACGCTTCGGCGGTTTGGGTACCAAATGCAGTTCCAGTTAGTGTGGCTACACTAGGGAAACAGTATGGTGGTAATTTGTTAGGCTTAGAGGAGGTACCGCAACAATGTGAGTCTACCATTATCTTCTGTGGTATATTCCTAGTAGGTACTGATAGCATCTTTATAGGGTACGAGTGGTATATTACATGGACAAGTCCAGCTCAGGATACAGCTATATTCGATGTCTCCCAACGGATAACCCAGCGTTGCACCGAAGCTTCCGAAGCCAAGAATTTACTTCTACCTTACCTTTTCATGAATACAGCGGGCAAGACGCAGAAGGTGCTGGAGGGTTACGGGGCGGAAAACGTCGATTTTATTAAAAGGATCGCTGCTAAGTACGATCCTGGACAAGTCTTCCAGAACTTACAAAATGATGGGTTTCTTATTCGGAACTTGTAGGACTTGTGCATGAAATGGTTGGTTTTACTTGGTTCATTTTCAACAAGGGATTTGTAATTTCGTATATAGATTAGCCGGGGAGTTAGTAGTATAACTAATAATTAATCATACATACATATACTAGACCTTTATCTACGGGACGATTAATACTGATGAAATCATCGTATCGCGCCGAAAGAGCCGCCTTGCGAAATAGGGGTATTAATAGATTCGCATATCCGGTTTATTATTCTCATAAAACGGTCCTACGCCGTTTAATCGCATACTATCACATACTATGTACATACCGTTTCCCCTTTTTACCCCGCTAACCCCCACTACCAAAACATATTCCTGGATTTGTACCTCGACACCTGTATATCCAGCATCTAGGCAGCTGTTGAAGCATATCTCTATTTTAGGTAAGCAACAGAAATAACACTCTTCCTGACCAACTTTCCTTACATGTTTTTTGTGTTCCCTCGTTCACCTTAGGTACCTAAGTCAACGAAAATGCCCGCCCCATCGCCCCTCACCATCGCGACCCAGTCCGTCCAGCGACTCGTCAAGGAAGAGAAGTACTACCGGAAGGAGCTCACGCAGCAGACGGAGCGCGTCAAGAAGCTCGAGGCGGAGCTCAAAGCCGCCGGGGAAGACGCGGACGGGAACTCCGGGTTCGTCTTGAAGCAGGAGGTATGTCAGGTCATGTCATGTCATGTCATGTCATGTCCAAGTTCTTTCCTCTCCTTTCCTTCTCCCCGTATCCCCCCTTTTCGACGAGAACCGATCCGTTGCTAACCGAGCCGTCTTTCCTTTCGCAGCAAAAAGCCGTAGACGAGACCCGCGCCGTCTTCGAGCCCCTAAACCAGCGCATCGAAGAAGCCGTCCAGCGGCTCGAGGAGCAGATCGCGACGGCCGAGGGCGAGGACGCGCCCGCCGAGGAAATTGCCAAGGCGAAGGAAGCTCTGGAGCTGGCCAAGTCGGTGGAGGAGCCGCCTGTGGCGTGAAGAGAGGAATATACTGTGTTTGAGATGACCGATGACCGATGACCGATGACCGATGATAAAATAATAATAATAATTACACACCTATGGACTACGACGATAACACAATGAATGTGTGTAGGATTACGAAGACGAAATTAATTAATATATATTGATACCACGATTCCTGCCGAGAAAACAGAACGGAGCCGGATGCTCGTTTCGTATTATTATTGTTCCTTAGAAAGGGGGGTCTGCTTGGGTAGCATAGAATCAATAATCCATCGCCCTCCCCCCCTCTTCTTCCATTAATCTAATACTGCGACATGCTGCTTATTGGGTATATTATCCCCTTACTCCCGTAATCCGGATGTACATATGTGTGTGTCTGTTTGTGTGTGTGTGTGCCTGTCTGGTGACATGGAAAAAATCAACGCCAAAGCACCGGCTCCATGAAATCTTAAAGACCGCAGGACTTGTCCACCCATAACTTCCCGTTCCTCCCCCCTCTCCTCTTCCTCCGGTTCGCGACTCTACTAGGATATATCCATGCTCTCACTGTTGCTAGGTCCCTCGACCGTGATCTGCGGCGTCTGCGCCGCGTCCTCAGCCATAGGCGTATCAGCCTGCTGGGTCTGCTGCGTCCCCGGCTCATCCATCTCGACGTCCTCGCCCTCCTCCGGCTCCTCTCTCGGATTCTGGCTTCCCGCCCGTTGGCTCGGGGCCTGGCTCTCAGCCCGCGAGAAGCTCCCGCTTACATCCGGCCGAGGCTTCAGTCCCGATTGTCCCCCTGTAACACCGACGCCAGCCCCAACGCCAGCCCCAGCCCCAGCACCGGGACTATCTGGTCTGGGCGTTCTTCCACCCCCCGACACCGCGCCGCTATCCGGATGAGGCGTATTGCTCCCGCTAACCAGCCCGCCCTTCCCCGGGGTACCCGCGGCCTCGCCGTCCTCCGCGTCCGAATCCATGCCCTCCCTGCGCTCGACCTCCTCCTTCTCGTCGCGGATGAGCGCGCGCAGCCTCTTGCCCTCCTCGACGAGCCGCTCGAACTGCTCGCGGCGCTCGCGCCACGTCTCGCCGTACGTCTCGCTCTCGCGCCGCAGGTCCTCGCACTCGTCCGCGAGCTTGGCTAGGTTGGCTGCCTGCTCTGCGCGCGGCCGCAGCATCCGGTTGTTCGTGATGCGGTCGGCCAGCTCGTCGAAGCGCCGCCGCTGCGCGAGCGTCGCCCGCGCCGCGTCCAGCTGCGCCTTCAGCCGCGCGTTGCCCTCCCGCACGCTCTCCATCGTCGCCAGGATCTGCAGCCGGTCCGCCCCGTACCGCTCCCGCTCCTGCTCGTTCGCCGTCCCCAGGAGTTGCAGCCGTAGGATCTGCGCGTCGAAGGCTTCGAAGTCGAGGATGATGTCTTCTTTTAGCGCGGCGATGTCCACCGCCGGAGAGGAGGCGTTTGCTTCGGCGTCATTGTTGTTGTTGTTGCTGCTGTCAGGGGGAGGGGTGGGTAATTTTCCGGGACTCGTGAAGGCGCCGGGAGAGACGAGGCGTTTGGTTAGGCGCTTGAAGGGCTTTTCCTCGACATTAAGAAGACGGGTCTTGTGTAGTTCGGTTTCCTCTCGCTCGTCGAGAAGGCCGAAATGAGAGGTCGCCATGGTTGAGAGATGTGTACCAGCTTTTCGTATCAATGTATTCTTAGATGAAAAAGGTACGTAAATAGTATAGCTGGGGGGGTGATAACTGTTATAGCTACTATAGCTGTTCAATGTTGAGATAGACAATGAATGTTTTTGGTAATGGACGGTTGATAATGAACAAGTTGATAACGGAGCTTGGGAATTGGGAAGTTTAAACGCGGCTGCAATTGGCTTATCGATAATGCATGCTCCATTTGATAAGTGAATTGTGGGCTTTAATCTTTCCGTGGAAAAGTCGCGATAAATGCATACCAGACGTTTCCGACTTATGCTTAAAGCAATTAGCACCCTATCATTCAGGCCTCTCTTCATGTATGTACCTCTACCTATCTTATTAACCCAAGTCACTTTCTTACCACTCTTTGAATACCTTAGGTAGTTGGTGTGAATAGCAGGAAGTGAAGGGAAGGGAAGTGATATGAGTCTTTTACTATGTCCGGTTATTACGACTTTTTACAAACCCGACGCATAATCCTTCGCTCGCCACACATTATAAATCCAGAGGCTATGAGGATCCTCTATCATCAAGCCTTCACCAAGTTTCTAGCTCTTCGCCTCTCGTCTTCGTTGAGGACCCATTGGATGGCGTCCTCGTCCTCGTCGTTAACCAGCTCTTCCCACTCCTCCTCTTCCATATTAGCCACCATAAGTATCTGCGATATCCTCGCAAACAGCTCCCTAACAGCGTAGTTACCTCTTGAAACAGTACTAATGATACCCGAGAAATCCCGCTCCATTCGTATTGCGCCGTACGCGCTGGTCTTCCCGCTGTAACTCCACACCCTTTTTTCGAGTGTCTTAGATAGATCCGTCGCTGTAAGATCCATGAGCGCCGTGAATGTTTTAGGAGTCATTATTCGTGCAATAGGTTTCATCAAAGCGTCCCATCCGTTCTCAAATCTTCGGTGCACGCGGTCTATTATTTCATCTTCGTCTTCATCGTTCTGCCGCGCAAGTTCTGCCAGCTCGTCTTCGGAGCGCCAATAATCAGCATCGCGGAACGTTTCCACTAGTACTGGTTTTAATCTTTGCTTGATGACCGCGGAGAACAAGACCCTCAAAGCATCAGATATCAGTTCACCAGTCTTAAGGGCGAACGTGGAATGTAATGTGTTAAGTGCCGAAGTTACGAACGTAACATCGTGCTCGAATGGGAAGGACGCGGCAAGAGGGCTAGACTCGGTGGCCCCATTAGGTTGATCGGGGGAAGTGCCTAGTTGTGATGTAATGATGCGATCTAGATAGTCTTTTGCGACATCTAGACTGTTAATGAGTATGATGAAGGAAATGATCTTGCTTTCAGGCGGGAGTCCCCCTTGGACGGTTGGCTGCGGATACGATTCATCTCGCATCCTTCTCTGGACCATTCCAATAAAATCAGACCCCAATACTCTCCCGACATCAGGAATTACCGAGCCAGCTACGTCACGTTGTGCTGTCGACAGAGCTTTTTGGATTATGGTACTGACGATATACATGACATCGTCCACGGCCGAGATAATGTAAGGAGCATTTCCATCGATAGGCTTGCTCATATTAAGAGAGAGGCCGGTGGGCGATTCGTCAAGTTGAAAAGCCTTTTCAACAGATCTCCTAAAAAAGAACAAAGCCAACGAGTTGTAAGGCGAAGTTAGCTTTGATGCGATCTTTCGACCGAGGTTAGATTTTGTGACCACCTCAGGTATTGTTAGAGGTGCTTCTTCAGGGGTATCCGCATTCTGAACAGGATTAATCATTAGAATACTCAATTTGGACTGGTAATAACTTACTCTGCATTTGCTAGCGAGGAATTTTGAGTATAACGACCAACGGCCGAGCATGATAGAGATCTCGCTAAGTAGAGCATCTACTTCTTTCATGTCTACGCCTTCGTCCTCGCTATTCCGTGCATTGGTACCACCGCCTAATGCCGGAGAATTCATACGTGGAGTGCCCGTTAGGGTCCTCTGCGGAGGTAAGAAGCTCTGCACTAAGAAGGAAAATGGATAACTTTTTGCGTCGGTAAGTTTCCTATCGACGTTTCTCTCATCGCCCCACGAATCCAAAATAATGCCACCTTGCACGTCAGCCTCCATCTGAAGTCTCTCTATGACTTTAACCATTTTGCCTTCCCCGTAGTGCCTCTCTACGAGTCCACCATGACTCTCGACAATCTGGGCGATATGTTCGAAAAGCTTCGTGAGTGCGTTGGCATAAAAGAACCCGTCTCTTTTCCCAGCGTCGCCAGGCGTTGCCTTGAGTGTTGCTCTAGCTGTGCCTGCAACACCTTGACATACGTATCGCCCATATACGTCTAGTCCAACATCTCCTCTCCCTATTAAAGGGAATAGCTTGAAAAACCTTGTGATCTTGGCGCCGTCGCCTTCTTGGACGGCTTTCTCGAATTCTCGTAGAAATAGACCACATAAGCTCTCTTTCGCATTCTCAAGTGTTATCCAAGGCGCGTCGGGAACCTCTACGCTCGGCACCATAGCAGCTGCGAAGCGGCCGCGTATAATCGGCTCTGGTACCTTGCTTGCTCGGGATATATAACCTGCTGCGGCTTCCCAGTCCTGGGGAGCACCCATGCTACCCACCACTCCATGGACGCAGGCTTTGAGTTCCGCGACCTGTTCAACCACCTTCAACGTTTGCTGCACTCTGTCCTTTTCTAGGTCGAGCTCCTTAACCCGACTGGAAAGTCGTCCTGCAGTGTCGGCAGCTGAAGAGAGCATGCCATTGCTTATAGATCTCGTCGCGATGACTTGGGAGCCGAGATTCGCGCGGAGTAGATCGAGCCGGCCTAGCTCGCGGGATAGGTCAACTTGGGAGGAGAGAAGCGCATTAAGGCGATTAGTTATGCTGGTCTCGCGCACATGTAGAGCAGCTAGCCCAGCCCGAACGTCGGAAAGAGTGGAGGCATCGTGGATGGAGGAAGCCGATGGAGGGCTATTGTTATTTAAAAGCTTATTGGAAGCTTTCTGCGTTGCTGACACCGAGGAGTTGCCATTGGGGACGTTGTTGGCGGACATTGGGACGCTTTTGTGGGAAGTGCATAGCGGGCTTAAGATGCTCAAGCCTGAATTGCTGGGATCTTGAACAACCTTTCGGTGGATGTGGATAGAAGAATAGGTACCTAAACGTTGATCCAACCAACGGCCGTTGTTGCAAGGTTAAGGTTGTAAGTGACGATTTTACGTTGTAGGTATTTGTTGTATTTCGTACACCCCGCCAGAGGTACCTACCTTAGGTACTACCTACCTGCCCTATTAATAAAGCTTTAGCCGCTAAGGATACCTGGCTCTAAAGGTTAGGTTACCTGGTATGAAACAACTAAATTCATGACCTATTTTTTGGCTACAAGTTTCTTAATCGATAAGCTTACTGTGAATCTGAACTTTTGTATTCCGTATCACATGTCGTCATTGTCGTTGCTTGTGTAGCTCAACGCTTTTTTATGAGTCACTCACTACCTAAAAGTCACTAGACTGAACTTTTTATAAATACCACCAGCAGAACAAAAGGTTGAAAATAAACTTCCCGGCAAGTTGGCGCTCAGAATTTCAAGTTGCAAATTTAAAACTGTTCGAGCCATTTTCAACTCCTACAGTACAATGTCTCAAGACCTTCCAAGGATGAGCACACAAATTTTAAGGGTAACGGAAAAGGAGTTAGGAAAATTCAAAGATGGCAACGGCCAGGAAAAACTAGGGTTATGGGAAGTCTCCCAAGACGAATCACCTAGTATCAAAATTCTTCGTGAAGCGGCACATTATCTGAAAACTAAGAATACACCTGTGGCATTTCCAACTGAGACTGTCTATGGGCTTGGAGCAGATGCGACAAGAAGTGCAGCAGTAAAGGGGATCTATACCGCAAAGAAGAGACCATCAGATAATCCCCTTATTATACATATTTCGGATCTGGAAATGCTCCGAAGTATTCTAGTCCCTGAGAACGCTTTAAACGGCACAACTGACACAAGTCATGACCGAATACCTGAGATATACAAGCCGCTTATAGAAAGATTCTGGCCGGGGCCTCTCACAATACTGCTTCCCAACCCAGATCCGTCTAGGCTAGCCCCTGAGGTTACGGCTGGACTGAAGACCTTTGGTGCTCGGATGCCAAATTCACCCCTTGCTCTCTCACTCATCAGACTGGCGGGCACGCCTCTGGCAGCTCCGTCGGCAAATGCTTCTACAAAGCCATCACCCACTACCGCTGAACATGTTTTAGAAGATCTAAATGGCCGCATCGAGCTTATACTCGACGGCGGTCCGTGTTTTGTTGGGGTTGAGAGTACTGTGGTAGACGGTCTATGCGATCCTCCCCTAATATTGAGACCAGGAGGAGTAAGCATAGACGAATTGCGGAGTTGTCCCGGTTGGGAAAAGGTTGAAAAGGGGTATAAAGATCAGAGCGAAATGGGCAAGGTTGCACCGCGAGCACCGGGTATGAAGTATAAACATTATAGCCCAAAGGCAACGGTGATTCTTTATGAGGCATCATTCACGGCTGGTCGTGACGGTATACAAGCTCATGAAGTCGAAAACTTTCTCCAAGGCAGACTATTCCAGCAAGCAACGAGCAGCGAAAGTGAGGGATTCAAGGTCGGTATCATACGGACTCGACACTGGAAACCCGCAGCTGGATTGCGCTGCGGTGACTTTGAAAGTGAGACGGTGAAGGCACAGAACGGACAAGAGAACCACGTGACGATTGAGCTCGATGTTCAAGAAGCAGAGCTCTATGGCAACACAACTGAAACTCCGATAGGGAGGCTTTTAGATGTTAGCATTGGAACGGACACCAGAAGCATAGCGCATGGACTCTTCTCGGCGTTACGAGAGTTGGATAGACGGGGCGCGCATCTCATATTTGTAGAGGGTACGGTAGACGATGAAGACATCGGCGCGGCGGTCATGAATAGGCTGCGCAAGGCAGCTTCTCAAATTAGGTCGTAGACCATTACCGGCGCTATACACCGCTCAGCTTAATGATATTCCATCAAGAACAAATAACGACTTTTTTTACCAACGCCGAGCCGGAGTCTACATTGAAGGTCATCTCGTAAGTTTCCACAAGTTGGGGAAACTAAATCCCCTTACAAGCCTTGCCTCAACCAATCTGTCAGTTTGGCCTTTCCTAATTGCGCCAAGTTGTTAACTCCTTGTTCACTAAGGTCGATACGGCTGAGATTGACATCCTGCGTCGGCGCCTTGCTAACTCTTTGTACGATGATGGTCGGGTCAGTCTCCAAGATGATACCATCGTCTACGATCTCGTCAATCGCCAGCGAGACCAGGTCGTAGTTCTCGATTATCGTTCGCTTATCAACCGATTGCCTATACTAAATTAGCTGAATGTAGATGGATGGAGCTCCAGCTTGTAAACATACTTAAATAGGAGGTGTAGCGAATCTCTTAGGGCCAAGATGACGTTGTATAGGAGGACCTCGTTCTCATCCACACCGCCTACGACATACATCATTACGTCGGACTCCATTTTATATAGGACGATCCGGTTATCATAGAGGATGATATCACCGGTCTGCTTTGCTGTCTTGTCTAATAGACCCTTCTCGAAAGTCTTCTGCGACTTGACGTCGGCGAATGGTCCGCTCGGTTGGTGGTGATGGGTCGTCGACGCTACTCGGGCTTCTTATCAGCGACTGCATCTTCCCAGAATTAGAACGGACCGGGACCTACAAGCTGTGGGAGCGTGGTGGGGTGCATTATAGTACTTCGCGAATATCCTCGAGCCGTCATCGATGTTAAGGATGATGATGGCATTCACCGAGGATAAGGACATCCCTGGCGCCATGTTGAGAGTTGGATAGTATTAGTCTAGAAATATGATAGCTGTAGTAATTTGGATATGGAGAGTGTCCCCTAAAGAATCACGAATCACCAATTGTCTCTTTATGATGATGCTAAGGTCCGCTAAGGTTAGGTACCTTCCAGACAGCGCATGTGGCATTTGGCTGAGTTGAGAGATGGAGAAACAGTTTTAGCGGAGCCGCGGCAAGGATGCAGGGGGTAGATACCTTACGGGGATCCGCGGGAACCAGTAAACCGTGTATATACGGTTTGAAATTTTTAACCGATATAATACAATTAAATTTGTCAAAATACTTTAAATATTAGATGTTGATGTTTCTTAACGTCTACAGGTGTTTTGATATTTAATCGTATCTAAACGTTTAGAAAATATGAAAACGTTTATTTTAAGTTAAGCATTTATTTTAAAAAATAAACATTTAAATATCATTTATATTTAAATAAACGTTTGAATATCGTTTATTTTTGTAAATGTTTGAGTTTCCTAAGGTCTTATCCTCTTCTAAAAGGTAAGAGCCTTTTCCAAGAGGAAGCTACGATGCCTCCCTACCTACCTTAATATATTAAAATAAGGTAGCTTCTCGTACGCGCGTGTAACGTAATTCGTAATAGCCATTATGGTCAAGGTAGTAGATGCATGCTTAGAAGTAAACCACCACGTAGAAATAAACCACGTACATACAAGTAAACATGTAAACGTCTAAGTAAACCACCATACAAGGTAATAGTTCGAATTTGAGGCTAAGTGTTACGAACCAACAGCCCGATGAGCCATACCAAGTGCGGAAGCGGGGTGACGACCAACAACGATTCGGTTGAACGTCGGTTAATTGGATCTTATGGATCTTATGAATCTTGACAAGATCCATAAGATCCCAAAGATCAACAAGATCAATAGGATCATAACGAAACAATACACGAAGTAAAGGAATCAACAAGTCTATTTAAACCATCATATATCTAATCATTCATTTAGATTTCTTTAGCTATCAATCTAAGTCTTATATCTAACCCATATAAGGGGAAGGACTCCAAGCCTTCCTGACGAACACTTCAACGTTTATTTTGACACTTGACTCGTATCGTTACTGTTTACCTGAAAATCAAGACCCATCGGCACTACACTCTACCGGACCTGAGTGTAGGTTCGTCACACTAAGCAAATGAATCTTTTTTTTTCTTTATCAATTCAACTTAGCTACTGCTACTGCTACTGCTACTGCTATTACTATTACCTTACTGCAGCCAAACCGCAACTTAATGGTTTATATTACTTAAACGTCATATAATTTAAGCATTTAAAAAATTCTCAAACGTTTGAGAATGTAAACGTTTATATATGTATGCGTTTATTTTTTTTAAAATATTAAAACGCCTTTAAATATTTATATTTTTAAACGCTTGATCAGCTATTCAGGAATTTTTAAGCGTTTATTTTTTTTGTACTGTAATGCAACGGTCATAACACGGTTTACTGGGATCGTTAGATGCTGGTATGGTACCTATGGTACATGTAGCCCTGGAGGTACCTAATGCTCCTCAGCCACTTAGGTAAAATATGCATAACGTAAATAAAAGTTGTGCAACAGTAAATAAAGTTTAGGTACGAATCGTCTGCACAATTTCCACTTTACGCGAAAAGTCGCGTACCACCCCTTTCCTAACGCGCTTTTCATGCCTGCCCCGTTTTACGAATTCTCCTAGGGCGGTTATCATCCAATTGTAACACCCACTTTGCATATCTCTATCTCATAACTTTTATCCCACTCTGGATCTCTGGAAAATAGTACTGGGTTCAATCTTCTCAACTATCCACTTTCTCACCAAGCCGTCCCTTTCTATAGTCGAGTACGGCATTGCATTGTCATTGTCAATCACATAAAAACTCAAAATGTCTTCACCGTCTAGCCGCCGTCTGCGGAGTTCGCAAGCTAGTACTCCAAGCCGAAATACACGAAGTTCTCAAGCTGCTCGTAGCAGTCCTGCCAACGGTGGCCCGTCCCAAAATCAAAATGGAGCGCAAGATGGGAATAATCTTGACGTATCTCGTCCATCGCAGTTGGCATCAAGCCCTTTATTTTACCAGTCTTCTCCCGCGAATGGAAACGATAGAAGCTCCCCTGCTTTAAGACATAATACCGATAGCCAGAGCACCCTCCCCAACCCTGACGCCGCGCCTAGCTCACCGTTGGGCCGCATGGGAGAAAGCGATGGCGATCGCACACCGAGGGCTAGATCACTTATGGGTGGTGAGTACAATTAGTTTTACAACTAATAGAGATTGCAAGGCCCTAACCCCAATGCCTTAGAATCGTCGCCTATCCGATATGAGCCGAGCTCGAGTCCCGGACGTGGTTTACACCCGCAATCCGATCTTCGAAGCGAAAGTAGTAACTTATTCATCGGCCCATCCGATACCCCACGTGCCAATAGGGTAAACCGAAGAGGTGATATCAACTCAGAAATTCTCAGTAGTGGTGCTCGAGGCAGTAGCCGTGTGATCTTGGACGATGCTGGGCGTGTAGTTCGAGAAATTCATTCCGATGCGGCGACATTTTCCAACTTGAACCCTAACACGTCTGATGCTGATGCTCTTGGCGGTCAAGATAATGCGACTATCTGGGGTACTACGGTGTCTATTGATGATACCTATGCCGCATTCAAGGATTTCTTACGCAATTTCACCAAGAAGTATCGGATGTGGGGTTCGGGAATGACGACTGAACAGACAGATGCTGATCCAGACGCAACCTCGAAGCCTTATTGGGAGGAGCTCCAGAACATGTTACTACTCGGCAACAGGATTCTATATGTCAACATTCAAGATTTCAAATTATACCCGCCTACTAGGAAGATGTGGCACCAAATCCAGCACTATCCTCAGGAAATTGTACCACTTATGGACCAATCGGTCCATGACTTGATGATCGAGCTTGCGCAGGCAGAGACGGCACGCCAGAGGAGCCAGAGCAATGGGGTTTCGGCAACCCAGCGTAGCGGTGCTCCCAGTTCTGACATGCAAGTTCCGAGCTCGGAGAGGAGCGAAGAACCCCAGCAGTCGCAGCAACGCCCACAGGGCCCTACCTTGGAGGAGAAAGTTATGGACCAGACTTATATGACTCGGCCCTATGGATTGGACGAGGTCATCAATCTACGCGATCTCAACCCTTCCGATATGGACAAGTTAATCTGTATCAAAGGTCTTGTAATCAGGACGACACCTGTCATCCCTGATATGAAGCAAGCCTTTTTTAGATGCAGCGTCTGCAGCCACTCTCTTCTGGTGGGCTTAGACCGAGGCAAGATTCGAGAACCAACCGAATGCCCGCGATATCTTTGCAACTCGAAGAATTCCATGCAGATCATCCACAATAGGTGCGAGTTTGAAGACAAGCAAGTTATCAAATTGCAAGAAACACCCGACGCCGTACCGGCTGGACAGACGCCGCATTCGGTGTCAGTTTGCGTTTATAACGAGTTGGTAGATTTCTGTAAGGCCGGTGACCGTGTCAAGATTACAGGTATCTACCGTGTTAGCCCTGTCAGGGTTAACCCACGTCAGCGCTCCGTCAAGAGCGTATTTAAGACCTTTGTCGATGTTGTCCACGTTGCCAAGGTCGACAATAAGAAAATGGACATAGACATATCTATCCTGGACGACGAAGTCAACGACACGGAAAACAATATAGAAGAGACCCGGAATATTAGCCCTGAGGAAGAAGAGAAAATTAAGGCTACCGCCGCTCGACCGGATATCTACGAACTTCTCTCTCGGTCCCTAGCTCCATCTGTCTATGAAATGGAAGACGTAAAGAAGGGTATCTTACTCCAAATGTTTGGAGGAACAAACAAGACATTCGAGAAAGGTGGTAGCCCGAAATATCGAGGTGATATTAACATTTTACTATGCGGTGACCCGTCAACGTCAAAGTCTCAGCTGCTCAAATACGTCCACAAGATCGCCCCTCGCGGTGTTTACACTAGCGGCAAAGGTTCCTCTGCAGTCGGTCTTACGGCGTACGTCAGTCGTGACCCCGAAACTAGGCAACTCGTGCTCGAATCTGGTGCCTTGGTCTTGTCCGATGGTGGTATCTGTTGTATCGACGAGTTTGACAAGATGTCCGATTCTACACGCTCTGTTCTTCACGAGGTCATGGAGCAGCAGACAGTTTCAGTCGCAAAAGCTGGTATCATTACTACGTTGAACGCCAGGACAAGTATTTTAGCATCAGCCAATCCGATTGGATCCCGATACAATCCTGACTTGCCTGTTCCGCAAAACATTGATTTACCGCCAACACTATTATCACGATTCGATCTTGTGTACTTGATCCTCGATCGCGTTAACGAGTCAGCCGACCGCAGGTTGGCGCGACATTTGCTTTCCATGTATTTGGAAGATACACCACATTCTGCTCCTTCAAGTAACGAAATATTGGTATGTTCACAATGCGATACAAATTTCCCCAGAAAAACATAATACTGACAAACCCTTTAGCCTGTGGAGTTCTTGACGTCTTACATCTCGTACGCCCGTACTCATATCCACCCGACGCTTACCCAAGACGCCTCGCAGGCACTTGTGGATGCATATGTGAATATGCGCAAATTAGGACAAGATGTTCGCGCAGCAGAAAAACGTATTACTGCTACAACGCGTCAACTTGAGTCGATGATCCGTCTCGCCGAAGCGCACGCCAAGATGCGGCTCTCGTCGACAGTCACTAAAGCTGATGTCCTTGAAGCCGAGCGACTTATCCAGTCGGCGTTGAAGACTGCTGCGACGGATGCTCAGGGTCGCATTGATATGAGTCTTCTTACAGAAGGCACTAGTGCCTCGGAGCGAAAACGCAAGGCCGAGTTGAAGGAAGCTATTCTACGTCTTCTGGATGAATTGACCAGCGGTGGACAGAGTGTCCGGTGGAGCGAAGTTAGTAGACGTATGAACGAAGGAGCGAGTGTTCCCGTCGAGCCTGCCGATTTTGCGGAGACGATGAGAGCGCTCGAAATGGAAGGCTCTATTATGATTAGTGGTGAGGGAGCAAGGAGGAGCGTAAGACGGGTCACTGGCGTTGCATGAGCTTTATAGGAGAGGATGTTAGGAGGGATGAATATTTCTCGGCCTGGTATTTTAGTGGTTGGAATAACTGGTTGGCAATACACCTATAACTACCGGTGGTGTCTTTACGAGATATGGGTTAGCAAATGAAATGAGTTAATGAGGTTGTAGATCAAATCAATAAAGACAAATGGTCTGTGGAATTGTCTCTTTAGGCAACTCACCGGTTGTTAACTACCAAGAGTTAATTACACCATTGGCTACACTCGACTTGACTGGGTTATAAGTTAAACTGGATATATCCACTTTACAAGTCAATATAAATGCAATAAGATCCATAATACAATACTCATGATGAAAGACTATTCGAAGCCATACTTCAAAGAGTTAAAGAAAGTTTCCGGTCATCCCTTTTCACCGCTGAACAGGGGTCATAAAAATTTGTCCACATGACCAGTGTAAAGTAGGCCTATGCTACCATCTGATTTTGGTTGATGTTCCTGATACCGTGATTCTCTAAGGTTTATCGAGTGTACCTACTCAAGTGTATGAATTTTTTAATTTTTTTTTTCTTTAGGATCCCTGTTCAGCGGTCTATGGCATAACCGATCTAACTGTCAACAGGGATTCACCCTTAAACTAGCAAACGATCTGCTCTCGTACGTCTGCATACGGAAGAGGAGTACAAAAAATACGCTCCAATACTCAAGTTACAACAGGCAGAATATGCAGCTCAAGTCCAATTTTCTCAATCTGCACAGGGTATTATTGGTGCACCGTGACGTCAATCGTTCTCCTCACGTTTCAAAGAAATGGACCACAACAGGGCCGATATCCAGCAAGCCAACACAGATGGGATGGACACGTTAGTAGTGGTACATAGCAATAGTAGTAGTAATAGTAGTAGTGTCTACATCGCAGTAATTTTCCTCACAGGCAGGGAAAGGGAGAGAATTCTCATCTGACGATATTCCTTGTGTTATTCCCTCGTTTAATCCTCCCCTCTTTAGCTATACCTTAAGCTACAGAGAGAAATCGGTACACACAATGGCTTATAACTCTTATAACTCGAAAGATTTTTATCCCCGACCCGATTTCGTTCACGGCAATAACAGATGGACGCCTCTTAACGAGGGCTGGTCGATACTCTTCGACGACGAGGATGTGGGTTTGAAAGAGGCGTGGCAGATCAACGGCATTCCGGAAAAGGTGTCGGTCACTTCCTCCGATAACTCGGCCAGCAGCGAAGCCGAAGCTCAGAGACTAGCTGCATTCCCCGAGCTGAAGGAGAAAGGCTTCCAAGCGCCGAAGAGCGAGGCCCGCGAGAACGTCAAGAGGCCCATCAACGTGCCCTTCGCCTTCCAGACGCCCGCGTCCGGCGTGCACGACAACGACGCCCACGAGATCCTGTGGTACGAGAACATCGTCGTCGACCCGCGCGAGCAGGCTGAGATCGAAGCCGGGGATAGGGTCCTCGCTCGCTTCGGGGCTGTCGACTACGACGCGACCGTCTGGGCTTCGGGATACCCCGTCGCAAGGCACCGGGGCGGACACACGCCTTTCGACGTGGATCTCACCGACGCCCTCGCGAATGCGTGGAAGAATACCGGAAAGGGAGAGCTTCAGCTCGTCTTGAGAATTCGCGACTCTCCGCATGATCTTGCGCAGCCTCGTGGTACGTATAAGAAGAATATAGACTACCTACATAATAGTTGGATGACAGATATTTTATTTATTTATTTACTAGCGAAAGTTTTAACGTTAATGAGGCTAATGATTGGAGACAGGCAAGCAGTACTGGGCGCCGAAGCCGGAGTCTATTTTTTACAAGCCCACGAGCGGGATCTGGCAACCGGTTTGGTTGGAAGTTGTCCCGCCGACGCGAATTGGCGACAGCAGCGCGGGGACAGTCCTGAAGTCGAACAACATTTCCGAGGGATTGCTAGAAGCTCGGGTGGCCGTTTTGGGCCGAAGAGCTGGTCACGGATATAGCGTTGAGATCGAGGGTTATCTTTACAGCGTCAGCGTGGCTAAGACGAAAGAAAACCTCCCTGCCGACAAGGATTACGTCTTCATCAACCTCGGTTTGGCCCTAAGCGACGACCAGAAGTCGAATGCGCCGCCGACTCTTGCCCAGGACGCCCCCTACTATGACAGCCACTCCTGGCGCGGCACCTTGGCTCTGTGGTCGCCGGATCACCCGACTTTATACGATCTATCCATTCGGCTGTTCGACTCGGACGACAACCTGATCGACGAGGTCAAGACGTACACGGGGTTCCGAAACATCGACTGGAACCGGGGGGACACGACGCTGCGGCTGAACGGCAAGCCGCTGTTCCAAGCGCTCACGCTCGACCAGGGGTACTGGCCGGAGACGGGGCTGACGCCGCCGTCGCCGGACAGCCTGCGGCGAGACATCGAGCTGACGAAGAAGATGGGGTTCAACGGGTGCCGGAAGCACCAGAAGGTCGAGGACCCGGTCTTCCTGTACTGGGCCGACAGGCTGGGTTTTCTCGTCTGGGGCGAGATGGCGAACGCGTACGAGTTCAACGGCGACTACGCCGAGAGGTTCACCAGCGAGTGGGTCGAGGCTGTCAAGAGGGATATCAACCACCCTTGTATTATCACCTGGACTCCTGTCAACGGTGAGTGTAGTAGAATGAGTCTCACTTCTAATGCTTTTGGTTTACATGGGAATTTTTTTTTGCTTTGGATATAAGCTAACTGTCTCGCAGTACGTTATTACACCTCCTATTCTCATAAGCCTGTCGTTCTTCCCTCCAAAAGAGCCTTCGAGGCACCGGGGCAAGCAATAGCCAAGGAGTACCGGAGACAAGATACTGACTTGCGATAACAGGAAAGCTGGGCCTATCCTAACTTGAAAGACAACATTGACCAACGGAACCACATTCGGTCACTCTACTACCTTACCAAGTAAGAAAACGAAGCCATTTTTCCCAGACTCCTAACTCGAGTTTCAAAAAATAGACACTAAAAAAAACTGAACAGGACGCTCGACCCCACGCGCCCTATCAACGACAACTGCGGGTGGGAGCACGTGCTCACGGACCTGAGCACGTTCCACGACTACTCGGACGCGCCGGCGCTGGCGGCGACGTGCGCGAGCCTCGAGGGCATCCTGGGCAAGAAGCTCGGCGGCCGGGACTTCTTCGCCGGGCCCCTGGCGCTCGAGGACGGGCGGACGGACAGCGGCACCGCGCACCGGGAGGGCGCGCCCGTGATCTGCTCCGAGTTCGGCGGCGTGAACATCGCGCCTGCGAAGGGCGCCGAGGGCCGCGATCGGGACTGGGGGTACACGACCGCGAGCGACCCGAAGGACCTGCTCAAGCGCCTGGAGGCGCTGATACAGGCCGTGGTTAAGGGGGGGCATATTTGCGGGTTTGTGTATACTCAACTGTAAGTTTTTCTTGTCTGTCACAAGCCCTACCTATTATCAATTTCTTTTTTATCTCTTTGGCATGAAAGAAAGTTGTTGACGGCTAATACTTCTTTTTACTGGGTTAGATCCGATGTCGAGCAGGAAGTCAACGGGCTGTATTCGTTCGATAGGAGGGAGAAGATCCCCGCGGACGAGGTGAGCAAAATCATCGAGGCAGCGAGGAATACGTATTTCAGCAGTCTTCCTAAGAAGATATGATATGATATAGAAGGGGTTGGTTGGTATGGCATGGTATGTATGGCTTAAGAGATGAATAGTGTGATGTCGTGAAGACAGGTACATAGATGTCTAATGGAAAGTTTCACGGTAAACGGATTAGATATATTGCAGGCTTAATTATAAGTAGAAGATAAGTAGAAGAGTTCATAATAATAGAGTCGTGATAAATGTTTATTTTAGCATACAGGTAACCTAAGGTGAACTGTTGTGGTTGTTCCTATTGCCATTCCCCCTTATATCCGTTAAGAACGTAAAATGACAAAAAAACTACCTGAAACTGGTAAAACGTAATTGATAGAAACGGAATCATATGCAGGTAATCCGTAAGGTTACCTAATATGATGTACCTGTGGATGGTGGACATCCCACGAAGAAGTACCTAGGTAGCTACAAGATAGAGGTCCACTTTACCTAGGTGCCTGGGTATCGGTGGGGCGGAAAAATGATAGGGCGACCCAATGACGGGAACATTAATTGTAAGTTTAGAGTGTAGGTATTGGCCTCAACTTCCGATTAATTGATATCATTTTAGTTTAAGCTCCATTCTTCCAACTTCGCCCTTCCCCCCAATTATCCCAATTGGCCATCACACAACGCAGATGGCGTCGCTATATCGCATTGTCGGCTGCGGCGCCAGGCGTCTGCAGTTCGCGAAGCCAACGATAAAACCAGCATTCCGCGCATTTTCACAGACTGCCCTGCGCAAGGCCGACCAGTTACCCTACCAGGGCACCACCCTCCAACCCGTCGATGCCGACTTCGCCCACCCCTCGGATCCTTATGGCCTCCAACGTCATCAGGACGGAACCGTCGAAGCATCCCGCGACGAAAGTATATCTGGCCGGAAGGTCCGCCACTATACCGTCAACTTCGGTCCCCAGCATCCCGCCGCCCACGGTGTGCTTCGGTTAATTCTCGAGCTGAACGGAGAGGAGATTGTTCGATCCGACCCCCACGTCGGATTACTTCACAGAGGAACGGAGAAGTTGATCGAGTACAAGACCTACGTACAGGCCCTACCGTATTTCGACCGATTAGATTACGTCTCCATGATGACCAACGAGCAATGCTTCTCCCTCGCCGTAGAGAAGTTACTAAACGTGGAAATCCCGGAGCGAGCCAAGTACATCCGAACCCTATTCGGAGAGATTACGAGAATTCTTAACCACCTTATGTCTGTCCTATCACACGCCATGGACGTCGGTGCTTTAACGCCTTTCTTATGGGGTTTCGAGGAACGAGAGAAGTTGATGGTAAGTTCTAAGTTCGACGTGATGCATTTTGCTATCTTCGATTTAAAAGTACAACGCAAATCAAAAAGATTTATAAACTAATCGCGATTTGTGTTCCGTATAGGAATTCTACGAACGTGTATCTGGAGCCCGTATGCATGCTGCATATGTCAGACCCGGCGGTGTTCACCAGGATATCCCATTTGGCCTTCTAGATGATATCTATCAATGGGCAACGCAGTTTGGCGATCGAATTGACGAGACCGAGGAAATGTTGACGGATAACCGAATCTGGATCGAAAGATTGAGAGGTGTTGGTGTGGTTTCCGCCGAGGAGGCCCTCAATCTCTCCTTTACTGGTGTCATGCTGCGAGGTTCGGGTGTACCGTGGGATGTTCGTAAGAGCCAGCCGTATGACGCGTACGATAAGGTCGAGTTTGATGTCCCCGTTGGAATTAATGGTGACTGCTATGACCGATACTTGTGTCGAATGGAGGAGTTCCGCCAGTCTCTCCGAATTATCCACCAATGCCTAAACCAGATGCCTGCAGGACCCGTCCGAGTTGAAGACTACAAGATATCGCCACCCCCGCGAGCAGCCATGAAGGAGAACATGGAAGCTCTCATCCACCACTTCTTGCTCTATACCAAGGGCTACGCTGTCCCTCCCGGTGAGACTTATTCAGCCATTGAGGCGCCCAAGGGAGAAATGGGTGTGTACCTGGTGAGCGATGGCAGCGAGAGACCATACCGATGCCACATTCGTGCGCCTGGTTTTGCGCACCTGGGTGGCTTTGATCAGGTCGCCAGGGGGCATTTGATCGCCGATGCTGTAGCTATTATCGGCACGATGGATCTAGTGTTTGGTAAGTAAATTGTTTCCCATACATGCACACACACATATATATATATGTGAAGATTTAGATACTAACAGATCTCATAAAACAGGCGAAGTCGATAGGTGATGTGCCTATTTAAATATAGTAGGCTAGACTTAAGAAGAAAGAAGAGCAAAAGAAAAAGGCTTTTTTTTTTGTGATGCAAATCATAAGACATCGTTTTCACGTTGTACGATAGTCGACGAGGTTCTCACGAGCGACAACGTGTATCCTCGAAATAATGCATATATAGCATCGGAAAGCATCGTCGTGCTTTTAAGTAAATACGGATATTTTGAAATTTTCGTGAGAACTGTTTTTTTCGTTCGTCTATTTTATCTTTTTTACTATCTCTCTTTATGTCTGTTTCCTTGTAGTTCCTCTATGTTTCCGGTGTCTTCTCCCCGGTTAGTTTCATCAAGCAAGCATTTTTACTGGCTTGTTGTCTCATGTTGTTGTAGTCTTTTTATATTCGAAGCAAATATTCCAGCAAATAGGTAAGGTAAGTGGCGCAATACTCCGAAATGGCGGATGGTTAGGTAGGTACCTAAGGTATAATGCGCGTATCTCGACAATATGGTATATGGTATGGTGTGGTATGGTATGATATGATCACGGCTAGCAGAAAGAGGATTGATTAGTTGGATCTAGAACCGTTAACGGGACGCCGGGCGCTGGTGAGGAGCCAGCTTCGGGTAATACAGCTCGCAGTCCTCGAAGGGGGGCATGTGCGAGTCGCCTTCGGGGCCGGCGCCGACGGGGAGGCCGACGATGGGCGTGCCCCGCGGCTCGTAGTAGATGGTCTGCATGTCGACCGGGTGACCGCTGATGCCGACGCTCATGCTGGCGGTGGCGCTGGGACTGATGCTGGAGCTCATGTTGGGGAACACGGGCATTCCGGAGGCCGCGGCGTCGTACTCATGCTCGTGCTCTTGCTGCTGATGATGATACTCCGGGTGTTGATGCTCGGGAAGTTGCTGTTCGTTACCATGCGCCACTGTGGACGTGTCGTAGGGACCGCAGGCCGAGCGCGCCGGCTGACCGGGAGAAATGGGCTGCGTCGCGTACGGGGTCCAGTACCGCTGGACGGTGTCCGAGATGTGCGGGTACGGGTGCGCGGCCTGGTCCGCGGGAGACTGGAAGGCAGACGCATAGCCCGATTCCTGGGGGTTTTGGTAGTTGGAAATGCCAGCATCAGCAGCATTGCTGCTGTGATTGTTGTTGTAAGCGTACGCCGACATGGCGTCTGCGCTCTGGCTCTCGCTCTCGTCGTATCGGCGAACGTCGTTCTCGCTGTACTGGATCATCGTCATGCTACTGCTGCTGCTGCTACTATTATGACCGCTGGCTAGCTCCGGGTGCCCCGTGTACCGGTCGAAGGTGACGTCGCACGCGCAGCGGCCGGCCCGGTGCAGCTCGGCGTGGTCACGTGCCCACTCGGCGCCGTACAGGCTCAGCATGCGGACCGAGACGCTGAGGCGGCGGGAAGAGGGGGAAGGGGGCGAGTGCGAGTACGAGGGGTCGTGCTCCCGGCCTTCGAATAGGGGCGGTAAGACTCCTCCTTGAACATGACCGTGACCTTGGCCTTGGCCGTGGCGAGGCGTGATAGCCGTGGTCGTGGTAGAGGCCGAAGCTAAGGTCGAAGCTCGTCGGCGCTGCTGCTGGTTTCCACCCGTAGCGGCGGCGTTGTTGTTATTGTGGGGGTAGAGGTGGGGGTGCTGCTGATGATGATGGCCCCCGCGACCTTTGCCCTTCCATCGCTGCTGTTGTTTGCCTTTACGTCGGTTGGGGAATTCGGGGCTAGCGCTGCGGACGTCGGAGGGGGTATTGCCGATGCTAATGCTATTGCTGCTGCTGTTGTTGTTGTTGCTCGGGAGCGTGTTCGTCGTTGCCGTCGTCACGATGCTAGCAGCAGCGGAGGGCTGCGGCGTGAAAGCGGCGGCGGAAGGGGAAAAAGCGAACTGGGAGCCGTCCATGTGAGCGGTAGCAGGGGGTTCGGCAACACTAAGGCCGATGCCGAGACCGATGCCGACGCCGGTGCCGGAAGGAGCGAGCATGCGCGGCTGCTGCAGGTGGGGGAAGCGGATGTCACAGGAGCAGGCGCCGCGCTCGTGCATGAAGCGGTGCTCGTGCTCGACGATGTCGACGAAGCGGCCGTGCAGGATGCGGCCGCAGGAGGGGCACATGGAGGGCGGGAGCATGGGCCGGCAGGCCGGGCGGGGGCAAGTCGGGTTCGTGTGCATCTGCGTGGTCATGGGGCAGGGCCGCACGACGGGCAGGCTGGTGTGCCCGCAGGTGTAGCCGACGTACTCGACGAAACACATGGTGATGGTAGCGGTGTAGGTGGTCTCCGAGATTAAGATTGGGAGGAAGAGTAGACAAGGAGGGAAGATTTCTCCGGTCGGGAGAAGAAGAACGACTAGGGGAGGTGTAAGTACGGGTGTTCCAGGTGGAGGTTTGAACTTGCGGGTTGTGCGGATGCCATTGCGTTATTTTGGCAGAGTTGCTATGTGGGATGGCGTTGATATTTATGGGGGAGGTTCACCATATGGGCGGAATTTAGATAGGGGTAGAGGATGGCGTATGGAGGTTGGGGGGGAATATGATTGTAGGGATAGCCTTAGGGATATACTGAGGCTTGATATATTTGCTGTCGAAGCTGGATTGGATTGAGAGAATGGGATGTTGGGAAGCATATGTGTTGTGTGAATGTGGGAACGATGGATCACAAAGTCAAGTGGACGAAGAAAAATATGTGATGAGACAATCAACGATGGGGAAGGGGAAGGGTCATACTTACTATTAATAAAATATCGGTAAAGGCCACTGTCGGCCTTTTTTTTGCTGTTGAAGGAAGCAATTCGTTAGACGAAAGAGCGACCGGGAGCTTGGTGATCTTCTGCTGGTGTTGCGAGGAGTAGTAGTTAGACTGGGAAGCAACGGCGACCTATGCTATACTTCGTAGAAGTACGTGAGTACTTTACCCGTCTAGGTAACTTCCCTCGGCGATGATCTATATTGTAGAGGTCTGAATCCTGGCTTTGCGTCGTTTTCTAAGAGTATGAGGTACGAAGGCAAGCTGTTTGTGACTGAAGATATTTGTGGTCTCTCAATGAGAATCACAGCTGCCAAGGAGCTACTAAAGAAAAGATGCTAAAGTAATTATGTTAACGGTCCAGGTCCCAGATGAGCAGTATGGAATATGTGAAGGAGTTCATGGACTGTCAGTATTGTTACTGTGGTTCTTATAGTTTTTGAGACCGGAGCTAGGGACAGTTCATATCAAGGGATTAACAAGAAGGAGCAAGAAGGAGTAAGAATGATTCTTACGCCGGTGCTCTTTCCTATTGAATAGTGTGAATTGGATGAATTTCTTTTTTCTCTTTCCTTTCTTTTGTAGTTATGTTCATGGAAAGAGTGGATGTGGAAGTTCCTCTAAAAGGGGATCGTTTTATGGTAGGGGACAGGGAAGGAGAGTTAACTGGAAGGGACAGAGATTCACTAAGCTGGTAATAAATATATAGACCACCTTCTCCAGCAGTACGATTCTAAATATTCACTCAGGTCATGTGTATGTAGCAGGTGGTGTTTTCTATGGTTCGGACAATATGAATTGGCTATTAGCGTCGGCGTGCTTTCTATTCAACTGCCATTGATTACTGTGCTAGGCTAGGTATTTCGTCTTAACTCGCGGTCAGACACTGGCTACATATTAATTAGTAGCAGTTACACAGTATTGTCGTTTATGGCTAGTAAATAACTAGCAAACTGACAATTAACACAATTTATATGTCTCGGGGTCCCTCTTGAGGTCCCCATGCCCCAGTCCCCGCCCGTCTGGGGACTATTGGTGCGCACGAGGCTGAAGATGGGACGGTGGAATTGCAGCTGTATAGATTGCTTTGCATACTGTATGTATTGTGTAGGTAAATTCACCGTTAGGCCATGCTATCATAAAATATATATGGAGACTAGCCTCCCGTGTGTTATTTCCAAATGGTGCCTAACTGTAACTACCAGAAGAAGGGCATCGGATTTTGCACACAGGGCCAATCCATATCGTCAATAATGCCGGCGATGGTAATCGCATGAGGGTAAAAAGTGTTCTTTGGGTCCGCGACCTAGGCTACGTATGAATTATTCCGTGTAGTGGGCACAATTGACCGTGTTATGGTTAGGAAGGATTGTCATTTCTAGGCAATTGGAGGTAATCGATCTGGGATGTATAGTTTCCTCCATCTATTTTTTGGATGGATGACATCGCTTTTACGCAATAAATCATTTCCTTGAGCTGGATCAGTATATTTAGAAGGGTAGGGGAGGTCAATAGAAAGCATGGTAAGATATGCTTCTCTAATTGAACATTGAAGGATATATTTTCTCAACAATGCCAGGAAGAGAAGCGAGTATAGTTTTCAGAAAGCACCTTCGTGCAAGCGTACCATAATATATTGCCCTAAAGAACGTCAGTTTGATGGGTCAGGTGACTGATATACCGACAAAAGAACAATCTTGATTGTGTGTAATGGTACTGCGGTGTATCGTGTTTGTCACCGTAATTGGGTGCCGCTCATTATAAATCATATTTACGGAGGTTTGATACGAGGAGGACATGATGCAGTTCTTTTAGACTAGTTCTAAATATGAAGAAAACTATCATGCAAATATTGCGATTTATATAAAAGGTTGTCAGGTGTGGCTCCGAATAGTGGCGAAATGCCCTATTTACCAACGCCCCGGGGCTAGCAAGCTGCCCTAAGAATTCTCCCTAACTGAGGACTTATTAACTCGATGTACCTTGGTATCTTCTTGTCTGATATTCCAGGTCTCTTTTAACAATGCCATAATGCTGATGATAGTTTCGATATCGTTCAATTTCATCTTACCAGCGCCGCTGCCACGAGCCTGTGCCCGACACATGGCTGACGCTAAAATTTTCTGTACCTGCTTACCTTCAAATTCTTTCTCGTGATGATCCGTTTCTCCAAATCGCAGGTCGGAGGTTATTTCAGAGTTATACAGGTACCTTAGGTACCTCCTATTGAAGATTAGACTCTGGATGTGAAGAGGGGGAATAATAACTTATTTCAGATCATTCTTTTTGAATAAGCGTCGAACAGTTCAGAAGGAGTTTGCTTGTGCTGCTTGGCAAATAAAGTCAGTTCAGACCCTGTAAAATATAATTAATATTTCCTTCTGAGGGAAGGTATTCACTACAAAATTGAAGATACAAATGGCTACCAGGTAGCTTATAATTAAGTGAAGCTAACTAGTAGCAAATCCGACGATTACCAGCAGCATTGTAGATGGCCGCACAACCGATAATACATTTATGCTTAGGGTTGGGGGGCGGGGAGGTTCAGTGGTCATGATATTTTCAAATAGGAAGATAGAGAGAAAAAAGAAACAAAAACAAAAAAAGGAAAGCAAATGAACAAACGCATGCTTCATTTCTCGGGAGACAAAAAAAAAGGATAAAAATGACAAAAAGACAGCTGCGCCTGTAACCCCCCCCCCGGACGGGGATTGAACAGGACACCTCCGCGAAAAAGCGCCACTGGTAAGCTTAGAGGGATGCCCGGTGCCTCCCAACTACACCAGCCCGTTTTTACTCTCGGAACTCCGAGGCCCCTAGGGGGGCCGTCCCGATTAATTTGTCCAGTTGTAATTTACCTATATAACCCAAACTCTGGCACCTATTATCTTGAACATTCACACTGTCCTTTTTAATTTGGTACGTGGGCACCTTATATATAACGATGATATTTGCGATAGATTTAATATTACCCTCAAATGTTTTGATCTATCTAGTATTTATTTATTAGTTGGGTTAATTTTAGATGCGTCCTTGTTTTGAAATGTAGCAGCCAATATGAAGATTCTCTCCATCGTTGGTCTGCATTTCGACTTATGTACCTTTACTTACTTACCTACTTACCTACCTCCCTATATGTCTATGGATGCGTCCTACATTATGTATCTCTACTTAGGTAAATAGGTATCTACGTAATTGAGAGAAAAAAATCCGGACACTGATCAAAGTGAGGTTTTACACAATACTGACACACAATTCATAGTCACTAGGCAACAGCTTTTCTGGACTTGAAAAAAAAACCCTACAGCCCATAAACTAGTGTGCAAGATTTCTTGAGTTTCCTTTACAACGAACCACCATTTTCTCTTTTGTCTTTTCGCTTTTTTCTTCCAACAACCTCGTCTCCTTTTTTCGAAGTCACATTTCCTCTCCCCTTCTAAGTTTCATACACGAAGAAAACACGAATACCGACAATATGGCATCTGCAGGAGACGCGCGCCTTCCTGACTCAGCGCCCAACCAGAACCATGTAAGGAATTTATCAATTGTGTCGAATCATTTATGAATAATATTTAACCCATTCTACAGGGAGAACCGGGCAGCCGCCTACGGGCTCTAGCACCCGCCCCAATACCCGTCCCAGTCCTAGAGGAATTCTCTGCGATCGAGGAGATGGTTAGCCGACACACTCAATATCTTGTTGACTATTGCCAAGGCCTCATGCGGACTTACCATGAGACAGGCGACGCAACATGGCTAGAGAAGCATCGTCTGATTCGTCAGCATTGCCTTACTCGATTCGATGCCTTTGGTCTACACTATACGCAATGTAGAAAGGCCTTCGAAACAACGTTGGAGCCTCCACATGTAAACGTTCCGAACAACGCCCTCCAAATCACCCAAAATGGTGAAGCGAGTAAAACGCCACAAGTACCCGTTGCTCGTGCTCAGACTGTGGAAGTCATCCCTCGGCCCTATACCCCCCACCAAATCAAGGGAGAATCAGTACCTCCGTCGCTATCAGTGTTAGAAAAGAGAATCTCGATGTCCTGGCATAGACAACATAAGCTTCGCTTCACACTCTCGTATGCCGGCACCTCCAATTATTTGGCACCTCGATGGCATTTTGCATATAAATACCATGGCGAGTGGCAAGTAGACGGTTGGAGACTGCCAGCTGAAGGAGTGAGAACCAAGACATATGTAGTTCTTGATACGAGCCGAAATGCCGGCATTGTCCATGAAGCACATAACTATTTGGCAGCTCACAAGGCCGCTCTGATTTATCAACTGGCGGAATCCAAAAGCCAGTCGCTGGAAGACTATGAGCCGGATATCTAGGAAACTCCTCGGCATTTGTCCGGCAAGCCACCTAGAGAAACAGAGCTGGCACTTCATGTCATTCCTGCGCGCACGGATAAAGTAAGGCATACTTACGGTCGCATTCTCTTTCGCGACGTTAGTTCCGATGGTGTTGAAGAGATTGTTTGTCCCCTGACAAAGAGAACGCTCCGCTCTGCCGATGTCGAACCTGATGACATGGTCTTTCCGGTTGAAGAGAAGACCGTACATGACATTTACTACCTCCTTTATGACCTCGTCTAAGACTAGAGGTAAAAGAGCCGCCGCATAGACGAGTGGACCATAACAATGACGGCGGTTTTACAGAGGTAATCGGCAGTGCTAGGTATTAGTCGATTCTAATCGACCAGTTTTCCATGAGAGTTGTTTATCAAAGCGATATTGTCGCAGGGTGTATTAATTGTTTTCGGATAATGAAATAGGTACCTTGATTGCAATAAGGAGTTCTTGTAATCTGAATTTCGTTCCTAACGACTTACAAGACGTTGTCACGGTCACGTGATATATTATAAGCCCCTTTATGATGTATTATGTAATCCGTGCGATATCAGGGGATTCGAAGACTTTCGTGTAGTGCTTGAAGACTCTTGCCTACCTAGTAGGTAATTAACATGATCTCCGATATTGCTACTAGGTGCGGACATTTTTCAGTGTAATGCTCTCGCTCTATTTTATATCTACCTAGGTACCTCCTATGGCACACAGGCTAATATCTGACCGGGCCAAGCAGTTGTTTCTACGGCGAGGTGTCTTTCGGACGCACATTACATGACGAGTCCAAGCAACGATTTCGTAGCTGAATATTTAACTTCAGCGTAGAATTCACTGTTTCAACAAACCTTCTACAGTCATCACATACAAGGGTGCTGACCACTATAAGAGCCTCTTCCCAAGAACCTTTCGGGGATGCTTTCTCTAGGTCCGAAGTCGGCTTATTTTCGGCCTCTTCCTCCACAGTGAGCCCCGAAAAAAGTAATACAACCACCAACTCCTTAGGCTTGTGCAGTTCTAGAAATAGGTGCTTATCAACAAAATATGCGATTAGCTGCTTCTCCACGTGGGAAGCATGGTACTGCCCCGGTTTGCCCCGGTCTTTGTCCTCCCGAGGTTCTAAATTTAATCACCTCATCCGTCCCGTACCTCCCAGCAATATCAATTCTTTCTTTGGGTGTATCTGACTAACCGCTCATGGTAGCGATTTCTGGAAGCCCCTTGCCGCGGATCATACGTGCCACTGTCTTCCACTCGGTCTGGAGACTGTAGGAGGTTATTAGGGACAGTGTCTTCCAGTCGTTAGATGGTCTTTGAAATTCAAATCCGTCTAGCTGGTATAAACCTGGCTCCCTTTCCTTTTCTTCAAGAAGGCGTACAATAGCTCTGCGACCCTTATCCTCAGCAGATGTATCTTCCTCAGCAGTAGGCGCGGACGTCCTATCACCACCCGTGCGCCTCCTCCATTTCTTTGCGTCCTCCTCCAACGGTTTTGCAAAGTCCGCAGCAGACAGAAGTTGATTGTGATCGATACACTTCTTAGACACGTCGGCCTCATGTTCTAACAAGACGAGAACATTTTGTATCCGACCCCACAGAGCCGCTTCCATGAGAGCTGTTCGGCCGCTGTTGTCCAGAGCGTTCACATCGGCTCCTTTATTAAGTAGAAATCGAACCATCTTAGGCGACAGTCCCCGCCCAGCCATATGTAACACGGTTTCCCCTAATATCTCAGAGTCTCGGAGGAAGAAATATGTAGATCACCCCCCAATTACTTCGGGGATGTCCTTGAGATAGCTCTGAGCATCCTCAACGGTACTCTTCATCATTTTGCATTTTATATCTTCAATTTTCGCCAAAGCGGCCTCTGAAATATCACTCTTGATGCTTGTAGTCATGTTTTGGGACTCGTAGATCGATTTCTCGATTTCATTCTTCTGGCTGCCTATCTCATTATTCGAAATCTTAGGCACACGAGCTCCGCCTGCTATGAACCGAAAGGTTTCCTTGTCGATCTCGTAGCTATACAACGAAGGCGTGCCCTGTGAAAATTCTATCTCGTATTTAGAGTATACAATTTCGTCGCTGGGCTTCGAATAGCAAGGAGCGGTACATATAACATGTTTTAAATAGTCTTTATTGAAGTCGTGTCAGAAGGATCCCGTGATGTATGCGTACATAGAGTAAATACTAGAAGCAGTAGTACGTAGAATGTCAAGTATGCAGTGTATAGTAGTGATCTATTAACGCTTGCCCTTCGAAGCACCTTCGAGGGAGCAGCGTGCTCCTTATATACACTATCCTAGTGGGCCGTAAGGCCCAATCTGCACTAGTGCCTCATACCCCTGACAAGTCGTGACGATGGAGCTCATCGCAAAACAGGCACAAAACGTGCATATCCACCACTGGACCCTCGCCTTTGGTATCAGCGTCTCCGAGGCCTCCTTGCTTGCCATTTTGTTTCGGGTTTTCGATACTGGGCTAAACGTGTTAGGTATCTAGTCTTGGAATGCTCAGACTACATTGTTTTCGTGAAAGGTTATGCCCCGCCCCAGAAGGCTTAGTGTAAGTCTTACATGCTATTAAAAAGGCGCATGTCTCGTGCTACTTCATCGTCACCCTCAGTGGCTCGATTTCTAAAGTATACTGTGACGGCTGTAAGAACTGCAGCAGGCGATTCGTCCATTTATTCGCAGCTTTAGTGACTACTCTCAGCCACTGGTTCCGTATTACAAAATCTACCTAAGACAGGTTTATCCAATAGAATTTAATGTAGCACTCCGCTGCTTGTTTAGGTGAAGATTTAATATGCTCATTCTGATGATACTAGCAAGGCCTATACTGCTCAACAGGTTAAACTACCCAAGCTAAGGTGGGATATAGGTAAGGGGCCGATTTGAAAGGCATAGTATGCCGCGAACCTATGTTCAGACGAAATCGTAGTCTCACGGAAGTTGGTGTTCTGGATGTGTAAGGTACCTTATCTCGGTAAGCAAGGCTCACTGGGGTTCATATGACTGAAGAGCTTTCTTGCCAAGTTGCCGCAGGAACTAGGAGTCATCTTTCTACTTTTCTTTGGTAGAAATTGTAGCCTGAGATTGGTAAGTAAAGACCTACTATCAGACCCATCTAGGTAGCATTTCTCCTTAAGCAGGTATATAAGGATACATTAGTAGGCTATGCATTAACCAAAACTTTGAAACAGTGAACTAATATGATCTATGATACTAAATTTCGAATTTGATATTGTCAGGGATATGAGGATATGTTGGTACAGCAGGGGTCTAGTGTCCATATAAAGAATAGCCAGCTCCCTCGAGAAAGGTTAGAAGGCGAGCCGTTACGAGATCTCTACAATAGATTGCATAATGTGGCCCTAACACTCACTCTCTATGTAACCTCCATCACCGAGGCATACACATACCTGACAGATATTACCTAGATCCAATAGGTATAGGTCGTTGGGAGATGAATTTGGTAGAATAATGTATTAAACAAGGAACAAATCTAGTATATTGTATGTAATAAAGGAAGATAGCCTCAATTATGTTCTTTTTTATATGTCTTAGGAAGAATGCCTAGTATCTATGTGTAAACAGTAGCCAAAGAAGTTTTATGCAAGTTCTAACACTGCATTAGATCACCACATTGAAAAACTCCTTTGGCTCAACTCGACAAGTACATGAATTTGATTCCCACACGTGTTGCCATTTATATAAAAGATACTAGGTACCTAAGGTACTTCGGTACCGAAGTCGTAGGCATGCACCTACCTGTTTTTTAAAGATCGGTTGAAGCACGGAACAGTGCGAACTGCAGGTGGGTACCTAACATACAACTCCTGGGAAGCAGTTGCCCCGGACGTATCATGGACAGAAACGGCAGGTACGGAAAAGTACAAAATACTGACAACGAACTTCGCAATCGTCAAAAATAAACATCATCTTTCCACTTTGCATTTAATTTACCACATCCTCCCTATCTTTACCATCATCCTGAATTTGTTAACTTTAGCCACAAAGTTTTCGGAAATTATAAAGCTATCCCCAATATTCAAATACCTACCTAAGGTATAGTATGGCATCTTCACAGGCACGGCAGCCTCCCCTAGTCACGTCCACAGGAAGTCCGGTAAGTCGATCCGATACTGGCTGGCTGGCCCTCGTCAATTAAGGAAAATAGGTATTAATATAAATTTTCAACAGCATGGCGATTGGAATCGCATCCTGATACCGGTACCTAACCACGATGAGTTCTACACAATTGAACATCTCAACACCCGTCATACGCGTGACGTTCTCGCGCATTGCCAAGAGCTCTTTGAGACGTACCAAGAAACGGGTGATGTAACGTGGCTGGAAAAGCGCCGCTTGACGCTTCAGCAATGGCTGGTTCGATTCGACGCGATGAATATCCACCTAGCGCAGTGCAAGAACGCCGTCTGGACTGCCCTGGAGCTTTCACAACCACAACCGCAACGGCAACCGCGGGAAATGAGCAGCCCTTATGAAGCGCCCGAACCTCCCCCTCGCCAAATAGTAATCGGCGGACCTGAAACCCCTCCCCTTACCCGCGGGCAGTTCGCGCGACGAATAAGACCCCAGCAGGCTGTTCCCATCCCGGTCAAAGAAGAGGAGGGAGATCCGTTGTCGCCTCGAAGCTACTTGCACAAGAAGATCTCAGCTTCTTGGCACTCATATACTTACCTCCGCTTTACCCTCCAGTACAACGGCCTGGATGCCGACCCGCCGGACTGGTACTTTGCGCGACGAGAGCACGGCCAGTGGGTTGGGAGCGGCTTGCGGTGGGAATACGACGGGGTGAAGATCAAGAAATACCTCGTGCTATCCACTCCGCGCAATCTCGCCATCGTACACCACGCGCTAAATTTCCTCCGAAACCACAAGGAGGCGCTCGTCCAGAAGCTCGCAAAAGCCAAGGGCCTACCGCTGAACCGACGCCGAAGAGACACTTAGGAAGACGAACGGGTCGGGCCCAGCAGCCCCCGCGACGACGAGCCGCTGCAGATCATGGTGATAGAAGTCGGTTCGAACCGGCAGGTGTTCGCCTCGGGGCGCGTCCTGCTGCGCGACATCGACCTCGACGGCAACGAGGAGATCGTCAGCCCGCTCTCGGGCCAGAGAGTCGAAGCCCAGGATACCAAAGCCAACGACCTGATCTTCCCCGTCGAAGAGCGCACTTTCCGCGATATTTATAACCTCCACGAGGACATCGCCGCGGATATCGACGCCCGCGACGAAGCTGCCGAGAGGGTTCGCCGCGATAGCGCGGATGGTACTCCCGTGTGACTGGGGCTGTGAAGCTCCGGTTTCTTGGTGCAGGATGTTGCCATATGGTATAAATAACTTATAAAGGGGGATCACTGCCTATTGCTGACGTCTTGATATTCGGCATTTTCAGGACACGTTAGCATGCTTTACTACCCGCGCGTAGATGTTTTACGTTTCAGGGGTATTTTCAGCGAAGAGGAACGCATTCGGCAGGAAGCTAGGGAGTTGGATCAAGTGACAGCCTTCCATTCTTCCGTTTCTTTTGTTTCATTTTCATCCTCATAGCAGTATATCCGGATAATTTGTTTTTTAGCATGGCAACGAGATTTTTATGAACTTTGTACTGTACCATCTCTGGCTCTGACTTCCAAGACGTTGTGAAGGTCACGTGGTATGTTACATGTATGTATCCAGCGCTGAAGTGTACATAATGCAGCGTGCCGTAGATCAATTGATGCGGCTAAGCGTCAGCCACAGCATGTAGAAAAGCAGCCACAAATTGATAACTCCAGGATCCATTTGATACATATGTACTAAGGCTTGATCTACCTACATGAACTTATGAATAAACTACATCTATTTAAGATCATGAACGGATTGATAAAAAAAAAATTGGGAATTTAATTGATGCAAAGCATTTCCTAATCTACGTACAGTACATATATCTAGGACTCTCCAACGTCGCCTTCCGTGACTCCATGGTAGTCAATGCTATTCGTTCCTCCAATTCCTCTAGGTATCTATCAGAGCAACGCGTAGGAAGTAGGCCGTAGTTTTTCTTTTATTCCCCTCCAAAGATAGGGAAGCTAGGTGCGTAAAGAAGTTGTTGTAGAGGGTCTATTGTTTACAAGGTGTCCATCTTGTCGAGGATGGCACGGGTGAATTCGTGCGTGGTGGATTCACCACCCATGTCGCGGGTGCGGTACTTGCTGTAGAATACGTTAGCACACCGATATGTGAGAATAAACTCGTTCGAGAACTTACCCTTCGGCAATGACGCCGTACACGGCCTTGGAGATGCGGTTGGCGTGGTCGTCGAGACCGAGGTGGCGGAGCAGCATAGTCGCGGAGAGGAGAAGAGCGGTCGGGTTGGCCTGGTCCTTGCCCTTGATATCCAGACCGACGTGTCGGCAGCCGGGCTCGAAGACGGCGACGTCGCGACCCATGTTGCAGCCGGGGACGATACCGGGACCACCGACGAGGGCAGCGCCGATGTTGGATAGGATACCACCGTACAAGTTGGGCATGACCATGACGTCGAACTGCTGGGGTCGCGAGACGCACTGCATGCTGGCGTTGTCGACGATCATGTCGTTGGTCTCGAGGGTGGGGTATTCGGCGGCGGTCTTCTGGAAGGTGCTTCGGAAGAGACCGTCGGCCAGCTTCATGATGTTGGCCTTGTGGATGCAGGTGACCTTCTTGCGGTTGTTCGCGAGGGCGAAGGAGAAGGCGAACTTGGCGATACGCTCCGACTTGGCCCGGGTGATGATCTTGAGGGACTCGACGACGCCCGGCACGCTCTGGTGCTCGAGGCCGCTGTACTCGCCCTCGGTGTTTTCTCGGATGATGCACAGGTCGACGTTCTGGTGGCGGGTGTTGTAGCCGGGGATGTTCTTGATGAGCGAGATGGAGGCGTAGATGTCGAGCTCTTGTCGCAGGGCGACGTTGAAGCTCTGGTGTCCCGATCTGCTGATAGGAGTGTGGAGGATTCCCTTCAACGCCAGCTTGTTCCTCTTCAGGGAAGCGACAGATTCCCGGAACATCTCCTCGAGGCTACCAGCCGAGGCGCTCTCCACACCCGAGACGTCGACTTGCTCCCAGTCAATGGGTACGCTGTCGGCCTTGAAGACAGTCTTGACGCTCTCAGCTACCTCGGCACCGATACCGTCACCGGGGATGAGGGTGACGGTGTATTTGCCGCCATACTTTGTAGGCTTGAAGATGTCGGATTGGACCGTCGCAAAGGATCGCGAAGCATTTTGAATGTGAGATTGTTGACGGGCTGCTGTTCGCGCCAGGCGCTGCAGAAGAAAAAAACAAAAACAAGAAGGTTAGCCGACTTTATCGTCTTTTTTTTTCTAGTTTTCTTTTAGGAAGACACAAAAAAGGAACAAGCATGTGAAAGGTGGAGGGAGGGAAGAGAGAAAGCTCGAGCCATTGGGACTCGGCTAATGCAAGATAATATGTACCTGGGCAGCTCTGGCAGAGTTTCGCGACAACATCTTGTGTTTTCAAGGAAAAGGGAGGTATTTGCTAGCCGTACTTTTTGAGAAAAGGAAGGGCGGTGATGCGTCGGAAGTGCTCAAGGGGAAGGAAAAGGGAATTAGTGTTTAGTGATGCAAAGAACTTGCAAATGGCGCAGGTGGTAGTAAAAAGCTTGGTGGATAGGGATCTGATAGGCTGGCAGGCTGGGCGTGGGAAGAGAGAGAATGGGCAAGCCGTGGCATTCCGATCGGGTGAACGGGGGCCAGTAGAAAAACATTTGAACCCCACTGATCCCGAAAAGATAGGTACTTTGGTACATGCAATACATTATCACTTTTTAATGCAGGCTGAGCGCTTACTCTTTTTTTTTATGTCGGGTTTCGTGTTATCTCTAGCCACGTTATGCACGCCAATGTGGGTATGGCATATGTGGCGCCGTATCTTATCTGATCTGATCTAGCAGCTCCTAATTTTGGGGTACGTACCTTGCTGCAGAGGTCTTCCAACAGCTACAAGATTATTCAGCGAAACAACTTTTATCAATTCATCAAGGTATTTCATTAGTTAACCTCTCCTCTTACCATTTTATTTCATGAATTTATGAAGACGTGAATACTTATAGAAATGTTATGCAAAACGAGCTTTTATTGAATTAAGTTTAGCCGATTATGAAATTTTCTACCCGATAGGTACATACACTAAATTGTCTCTTACACGAACGAGTAGAGTACCTCCTAAGTTATACCTAGGTAACTGTTAGTATTAATATGAAATGGTCCGCTAAAACGCCTACCAAGCGTCCATTATCTTAGGCAGCGAGGCAGGATAATGACAGAGATACGCATGGAAATAATAAGTCAGTACACTTACCACCTTTAAGTTAGGTACCTAGGTAGGACCTAGGTAAGGGGATTCAAATAAGGGAGGAGCTAAGTTATTATGTTCGGAACGACGATGGATCCTGGACGAACTGCCCCTAGCTGTGGCCTTGGCAGGACCACAAAGACCTGTTATAGACTTCCAGAGAGATGTACGGCTTACCATATCGCTAATTCGACCCGGTCGGGCGGTCGGGAATACGACAACCTAGGTATTCAAGGAACACAGAAGCTTAGCTGAGTTCTGCAAGGGGTTCAATAAGCTGACCTCCTGTGACAAAATACTGCACGCGACAAATCCTTCAAAATAATTCGAGCTGTCAACATGAGGAATGGGTCTAAATGCGCGCCTTGACTTCCACCTTCAAAACGAAGCCCGAGAGGTATCACGTCTGGGGTATCACGTCTCTTGTACATTACTCTCGGTTTGACATTATTTTTCAAAAAATAACTGGATGCGTTTACTAAATTGGTAGTTTTGAGTTATAGGTGTTTAGTCAAGGTAAAGACTCTCACGCATAATTAATAACTGGTATTTATTCAAATTTAATAGGAGTTTAATCGTTCTAACGATAAAGATTCGATATATACCTATTTCATTTAATCTTAAGAGGAGTAAAGCTATCGTAGCAGGATAAAGTTAGGTGTCCTCCGTATCCCCTCCGAGCATTGAAGCTCTCCATATGGTGGTTGTTCATCTGTACAAAAGAAGATAAGAGCATTTCAAGTAAGATAGCTACCTAGGAACCATTGACGTTATCCTAGAGGCTATCAAAGTTTGATGAAACTTAGCTACCTAGATTAGGTATGTACTCATGAGTCTCGAAAGTATAATTTCAAAGATGCGGAGCACCGCAAGTCCCTTCTTGTCAGAAAATTGATTGATTATAATTGTTGTTGTTTATTATTAAGGTTACTGTACACGATCCATCTAGTAGGATAAGTATATATACTTTGCGTCATGTGACACTTCTACCTGCCCGTGCTTCTGATTTCAACTCGTAGATCCCGGCCCTAATGTAGTATAGAAGTAACGGCGGAAGCTTCCTCACCCTTTATCCATACATACACACCTGAAACCTAAGATAATCAGGAAAATCTACTTCTTATCAAAGGCTCAGCAGGCATTACTCGCCTTTCCCCTTGGTCCTAATCTCTCGTCACATATATTCGTTGACTTAACCCCATAGCGCCCAACTTTACCTAAATAACTCTCGAACCGCAAAACACCAGTATGGGCAAGAACAGAATCTGCAATAAGCCGTTCGTTTCAGACAGCTTCTTTTCCTTCAGATAGTAGATCCGCCCATACACCTGTTTCTTCTTCTTCCCGGATGCGCTCCTTAGTATCCCCTAGAAGAAAAATTATACTCTACTAAGGGATGTAGAGTATATATCAGATTGAGAAAAGAACACAAGTAGCCTGTATCCATCTTGAAACTCGTTATGCCATCCGTCTAAACCTCGTCGGCACTTAACACCCCTATCGCTAACCAGCCTGTCCGCTCCATATACTTCACCCGATTAGGTACACAACAACCAACAGCAACTAACTACCACTCCAAAAGAAATTAAAAAAAAAAAAAAAATGGCCGAATACGCGGCGGCAGCCATAAGTGCCATAACGGCATCAGCGGCCATCGTCAGCAGCTCGACGGCGCATAGGCAACAGATATACCGGGGCTACAACGCCATCGAAAACCCGCCGTGGCAGCGCCGTCCCCCCTTCACAAGTATGTCTCCCCGCCGCTTCAACGCTTACTACGGCTGCGAATACGGCCAGCCGCTGTACTACCCCTCCGGACTACACGAGCACCTCGTGCACCACACCGAGTGTCCGGCCTCGCAGTGCCACTACCAAGCTTTCGTAAGCTCCCCCCTTTTTTCTCCTTAGCACACAAAAAAAGACACAAACACACACATACTTTTCTCTCCAACCATACCTAACCTCAACACCCCCCCTCGCAGTTAATAGACTCCATCCAGCGGTACAACGCATCCCGGCTCGCCCTCCGCGAGACCTACGTCTGGAACCTGCGGGAGCTAGCGCGCGTGCACGCGTCGCAGCCGCGCAAGCCCGACGCGGAGAAGCACGCCGAGGCCGAGCGCCTGTACGCGTACTACGTCTCGCGCGTGCGCGACGTCTTCGAGGAGCACCGCTACGACCACCGCCGCCTCCTCGGCCAGGACTACCTGTACTGGACCCAGCCCGACCGCGAGCACGACCACGTCCGCCGCCTCCTGCTGCTGCCTTTCCGCGCCGTCTCGAGGAGCAGGAGCAGGAGCAGGATCGCGAGTCTGGTCGAGGAGCATCCTAGCGACGACGCGGGTGCGAGGAATAGCGGTGGTACTTGCGACGCGCTGGGGACTGCTGGGACCTCTAATACCACCGCGGCCGCTATTCAGGAAGTGCGGGAAGAAAACGAAGAAGAAGAAAACTCGGAATGCACGGAGATTTCGGTGGAAAGCAACACGAAAGAGAAAAGAAGAGTAGCATAAACTTCCTTTTTTTTTTCTATCTGCTTTTGGGGCCATACCATTAAAACAACGCCTCCGTAACAAATATGCCAAATCTTGGCATCTAGGAGTAGACGGGGCCAGTGGAAAAGGGAAATTCTATGGACCTAAGATAGACAAGTCTACCTAAAGGAGGTAGCTAGCTAGGTAGCTATCTGGTATAGGTAGCTCGGTGGTGGAGGCAATGGGAGTAGTACAAAAATGGAAAAAAAGGGACCCGCGCCTAGGTAATACATACCATCACGACGACCGCCGCCATCAACCCCTTATTAGATAAATACTTACACAACAACACGTTATCCCTCCGTAGGGTATATCATCTTTTTGCTTCTTTCTCTCGTAATAAAATGTGTTTCTTCTTCTCTATTTCCGTTCCGTTCCGTCCCTATCCATGTGTGAAGGTTAATCCAATCATCCAATCATTATGTTTCATCTTCATCTAGTGGCTCGACCCGAACGAGTATTTCCTCGAGTAACCCTTCGAGGAAAGTTCCGACGTCTTTACCCATGCCCACAGGCTCGCTCTTGTCAAGCCGGTCGATCTCCTTACATACGTTGGCTAGTTTATAGACATGCTTGCGGATGCGGTCATGTGCTGCCTCGGCGCGCTGCCGCTGTGGGGTAATAACTTTCTCGTTGCGATAGATTTGCTGTAACCGTATCTGCCGTCGCTTGAGAGCCTCTTCGAGCGCCGGGAAGATGACGTCATTCAGGGCGTCCAGCTCGCCGTTCGGGTTTGCAGGGCCAGGAGGTGGAAATGCATCCGGCATAGGGGCTTGCTGCTTGGGCTGCGCCTTGGAGGCGAACGCTTGCGAGCTCGGGTTAGAATGCTCCTTGCTTGCTCCCCGCGAAGGTTGGTGTTGCGCACTCGGTCCGCGATACGGAGGGATTTCAGGGAGGGTGAAAGGGAGGGGTCTAGGAATTCCGCGTGGCTGTGGCAGCTGAGGTTGAGAATTCTTGGGTGTTATAGGTTGTTGTGAATGGGCAGATTGGGCAGATTGGATTTGGAGAGGCGCAATGCTAAGAGCAGCCATGTTTTGCTGCATTTGATCCTTCAGTGCTCGGTCGTAATCTGACGACACAATACTAGTATTAGGCGTCGGCTTCGAAGCTCGTGGGGTACCGGGATCTTGTGTGTATTTCTGTGGTGAGGGTGGCAATGGAATCTTCGAGGGCGATACGGGTGTCACTGATGTAACGGATGGAACCGGTTTCCGCTGGGGCGAAGACTGTCGAGACGTTGCTATTGCCGGAGCGTTTGTAGCCTTCAGTGTGCTGGTAACGGAGGAATTGGCAAAATCTTGGGTTTGGACCTTAGTCGGTGATATTCCTCTAGGGCTTTCGCCATAATCGGGTTCTAACGGTCTGGATGCCCTAGCATTCCTTGTGGAATCGTCCATGGGGTTCAAGCCAGGTCGATTGACTATTCCTCCTCGGCCGCTCACTAGGCGGACAGTACCAAAGTCCCACATATCCTCGTTGACCTGTTCTGGCTCAGCTGAGTCTTCTCGTTCTTCTACGTTTTCCTCTTCCTCTGTTTTGTGGGTTGCACTCCATCGATTATAACGCTCAATCAGCTCTGTCAAATAGCTAGTCTTCTTCGCTTTTCGGACGAAGGGGTGCTTGAGCAGGTCTCTAGCCACTGGTCGTTCTTTCGGGTCTCTTTGTAAGCAGAGCTCGACGAAATCTTTGAATGCTTTGGTGAAGTTCCCTTCCAATCGAGGAGGGGTGTTCTTGGGAATCAGGAATAAGACTTTCATAGGGTGGATATCGGCATAAGGTGGTTCGCCATTGGCAAGTTCTAATGCTGTGATTCCTAGCGACCAGATATCTGCCTTGTGATCATATCCAGATTGCTTAATGACTTCTGGAGCCATCCAAAAAGGCGTGCCCACGAATGTATTTTTCTTCGTCATGGTCGCGGAGAGCTGTCCAGACACGCCAAAATCTGCCAGCTTTACCTGGCCATTGGAACTGAGTAGAATATTCGCCGCTAAGTCAAGAGCGCGTTAGTAAAATCCGCATTCGCAACGTCACCCGAGCCCGTGTACATGTAGTATTTATTTACCTTTAATGTCGCGATGAAGCTTCTTGTCTGCGTGTAGGTAATCAAGACCCAAAAGCAACTCCCTTATGATAATTGCAATGTAGTCTTCTCCTATCATGCCCGGTTTCATCAGATCAGCGCAGCTCCCACCGGAGCAATATTCCATGACGATCCATAACTCGGCGCCCTTCGCATACGATCCGTAGTATTTGGTGACATAGGGCGACTGAAGCTCGGAGAGGATGGCAATTTCTTGTATAATATCTTCGACCTCGTCTTCGGCGCTTTCGATATCGATAACTTTTATGGCGACGGCTTGGCCGCTCCGTTTCTCAACGCTTGTGTCTCCAAGTCAGCCCTTGATATTTCCACAATACCCGATTAGAAGCACAAACCCCTTGTAAACTTTTCCAAAGCTTCCCCCACCTAAAGAGCAGGTCAGCAATAGTCCCTAAGGTAGTCCCTATGCAGAGATCATCTGCGAGAGTCTGACCAATGCAGTATTCTTTGGTGTACAGAAGCTCGGGGTCTAGGGCCTCATTGCTATCATCATAATCTCGTTCAGCCATAATGTCACGCGGTTCCCGTTGCTTTGTAAAAAATATGATTTCGTGAATCGTGACGGCGTGATGTCCTTAGACGTTAAATAAGTAGTTGAGAGAAAAGGAGATCAATAAATCAAGTCGTGTGGTGACTTGGGATTGTTTGGTTCCGGAAAGGAGGTGAAGGCCTGCCCGCAACAAATATCGAATCTTGACAATATAAACGGTTTATAACCAGTGGCCTAAATATTTAAAAGGTTGTATAGGTAAGTTATAAAACAGTCCGGATTAGCCTGCAAGAGATGAAGGAAGGTAGAAGCGCACAGCTAAAAACAAAAAAAGAAGGGATTGTCTAATACAAAAATCGAAGCTTGAACGAGGAGCGGAAAAAGGCGACAAAGTGACAAGATGACGAGATGACAAGGCTACAAAAAATAAAAAGCAACCGGCGATCCGGTAGTATGCATGTACCAATTGCGACAAGATCAAATGTCCAATGTCAACAAACGCGGCAACGACAATCAATGCATGCCCAGCTACAATGTGACGAGAGAGAGAGGGAAATTAAGCGAAGTCAAGAAAAAAAAAAAAAAAAAAAAAAAAAAAAACAGAGACGAATGATTTGTTGTGATGCGGGATGCGGGAGAGCTGGGCAACAGAGCAGCAGGGCAACTAGAAATACAAGGTTTTGATAGGTCTGACAAGCTTTACAGGGGTTCAGACAGGGTTGCCCGCTGTGGGATGCGTGGGGTTGATGGAGGGGACGTTAATTGATTGGATAAAATCGAATGCGGTGAAGTTTACGTCCCTGTCTCCCCGGCACCACGGGTTGTTGCGGGCCACTACGGGCCACCGCCGGCGCGCGCGCAAACGCTGGGCTGAGATTTCTCGTTACATCATTACATCCTTACACTCTTACATCCTTGCCTCGTCACGTTATCGCGATCTTTGAGTACCTAGCACGCCTCTAGGTTACCTAGATGTAAGCCAGAGACCATGATAAATAATTACAATATAACAAAATTCGATGTCAAGGATAGAATTCCCCATTTCGATAACTATTGATGTAATTAGTTAAAACCCCAAAGAACATCCCTTACAGAATATCCAGTAGATCTAAATTAAGCACTGACTAGCTGTCAAAGTACATGAACTCAATTCTTAACTTTTATCTTTTATAGCAGTTGTTCCACACTCCCTTAACTCTCTCAGCTACTTATACGGCCCTAGGCTTATATAGATTCATGCAGACCGTAGAACGAGGCTTGAATAAATCATAGTACCACGTCTAGGTTAAATTATTATCAGAACTTGTAATGACTGATCCGCATCCTAAGAGGCAGGTCTCATTCGCAGCTAAGTCAACAATCTTAAAAGTCCATCATCTTCTTTGACCGACTGTTACACCCCACCCTTACTTCCCCAAGAGGTACAATACGTATATGCTACCTATATCCACAAGGTACCTAAACATAGGATACCTCTTATACCACCAGGGAAGCTATTTTAATCAATGCTCGGACATTCCCATTCACTTGGTTCCTGCGTCCGAAGATTCGGGTCACCATCAGCCCCGCATTCAGCTGCGGCCCGTAGTGTTCAGCTTCGGGGACTTGGCAATACCCCTGATTCAGGGGTTGGCTAAGCGGGGAGGTCCTATGGCAACAGCCACAGACTTCGATATCAAATATCTGCGTAGGTACTTAACATACAATATCTGTTATGGACTTGCGTAGTATGCCTTTAACAAATAATAGCCACTAAAATTCCGTCAGGTGCTACAAATAGGAAGTACCTACTAGTTTCACAATCATCGTGCTAAGTTTTCCCGATACCTGAGCAATATAATACTTTATGTGGAATCGGGTACGCATCAAAAGTACGTGGTATTATGTAAGAACCTGAGGTAGTCTACAGGTATAATAGGTCACCTAGTTACTACCTACCTCTTAACCTGCTACCTACACTTTAAGAATAAAGCTATTACATCAACGTCAAACTCTTGAACCTGGAGCATGTCAGCTACCATTGAATAACTTATACACGAAATAGGACTTAACGTGAATCGAATTCAGGGTAAACCCCTATTTTCCTCACGCTTGCGATGAGCATGTTGGCTACGCTGCGGGATTTCTCTCCTTTCAACCGCAATCCTGATCAAAACAATAGTGGACCGTATTTATTATCCCTCAGAATTATAATAGCAGTTGTTACGGGAAGATCGCCGAGATATATCAAATGATTGATAGAAGTGGGTATTCATTTTAGATAGATAACAGTTTCTACCATATGTCGACGGCAAGACCGAATGATGGGATAGTGGTTACAATATTCTAGACTTATATGTGTATTAGGTGCTAAGTTTTGAGATTTTAAACTCTATATCTATTCGATGAGCGATGTCAATACAGCAGTCAAGGCCATTTGAATCGCTGCGATCTACTCGCGATTGTCCTCTTTCACGGTGGCGACATGGGAAGGAGTCAGTTCGATACCAGGCTAGACTTTCCCATTAGGATGTTCATCTTTAGGGGAGGCTCGTCGCCGGCTTCCGGAAAATCCTCCACTCTCGTACAGGACTGGGCCTTCCCGTGGTAAGCCTATGCCCTTGCATTCTCCTGGAGGTGGACGTAATTTCGATTTGGAACTCTCAGCACCTTCCTCTTCAGATTCGGAAGAGCCCCAAGACGAACATTCACCCGTATTAACTTAGAAATAATCTTACATGTAGTTCTAAACCACCGCGTATTACGAAGTCTCTACAAAGAACACAAGCTAAGACTCGAGGAATGCTTCAATAGAGGGCGAAGAAAGAGACGCGAACCCGAGCGAGTGTATCCTTGATTCAAACCCAACTTAATGCGATGATACCGGATACTTCGTGATCTACATAGGTAAGATATTCTTCATGTAGAGGCGATGAGAGTGGTTATAATAGTGCTACCACTACCCGCCCGTGGAGAAATAACCCTCTAGCTAAGGAAAGGAGGTATATTTAGTATCGGATTAGCCCATGGTAATTTCTCTGATTATATTATTCGAGTTGACTGTTAAAGGACGTATGCTTGAACAGATAATAACGTGCATCCTTAGTTTGTCCGTGTCAGGATTCATATAAACGGGTTGAAAACTGTCATCACATCATATACCAAGTTCATTATCTTAGGTAACTTTATCTACCTCTTACGGACGATTTTAGAAGAACTCGTTGTTCAAGTCTACCCTATTGTATTGACCCAGAAGGCAAGCCTACCGTTGAATATTAACGTGTGAGAGACTGTAGCAACTGTCGATGTAAGAATTAGGTAGAGTCACTTCCGGGAAACTCCTTTATCTTCACACGAATAAAGTACTCTGTAAGCAGTATAATGCATCAATATATTTTCCACGCTTCAACGTAAGTTAAAAACGCTTGTAAGAAACTACCACGTGAGGTTCATTCGTCTAAGCAGTGACTTATGTATCAACTTTCGAATGTCTTAACTACACTATGGGTAAAGGCGTTCCGATTGTATATGCAGGTACCTATAGACATTTCGTTCTGGTTCAGATAAGCATCTACCTTAACTCCCTTGTAAACCAGGTACCTGAGGTAGTCAACCAGTTCAGAAAAGAATATTATATTTCACTGCCACCCCCCCTCTGCTTATTACCTACATTGAAGATATTGATACCATGTGGTTGACGCAATTCTGCACTGTTATACGCGAGACAAGACCTTGTCAGTGCATACAACTAGTCAATAAAGGAGAGTTATGTAAGTCTCTTTACCAATGTAGCTTTGACTTCTATAATATAATCCGTCTATGGAGACACAACGAATTATAAGCCAAGCTATGTGAGCTTGCAGTTAAACATATTGAAAGCATATTTGCTCTAGATGTTTCGCCTAGAATTATGATCTCGATAGAAGGAAGCGGCACAAACACCAGTTTGTTTGATTTTTGCCTTCTTTTTTTCGTCTTCCAGTGGGCATCCATCTCGACCGAGACTATTTTCCTTGCACTTTCCTGGGGAAGAGTAACATGCCGCTAGGATTATGAACGACGAGTATATATACTATAGTGTCGAGGATGGTATCATGCGGCTATGCCAAGGATTGTCTGCTCACTCCCATCAGATTAAGATAACCTTACCTTCGGGATGGGGTTCCCCATACCCCCTTTTTGCAATATGACTTAAAACTTAGTGGTTACGCTAAGTCCAATGTAATTCAAAGATTCCACATGGGCATTTACCTTGGGGAAACTACTGCAGCTCTTGTGGTTATTAGTTTCGGGAGCTTCTAATACGAATCTTATCTTATGGCTGTTCAAATCCATAGTAGTGAATCCCGAGTAGACTGGCGGTTTAGTGGATAAATTTTCGTTGGAATTACCCACTGTTCGCCCCCCCAGCGTTAATAAAAAGCGCAGAATGCTAGTTGGGATGCCCTGGCAAAAACCCTTGATTGTCTTCTCGTAGGTTGAGGCGACTATACGTATTTGACGCAATTCGCAATATTCTTAACGATAATCATATGAGACCTGTCGTGCCAGAATTAAAATATGGAAGAGTTAGAATTTCACTCATGGAATTATTCACGCGTGTCATGAACCTTGACTTGAAATCTCTACGAGATCTGCAATCAAGGCTCAGCGGGGCAGATCAATAATAGTAATTCCCTTCGACTCTTTTGACCGCCATAACTGCGCATGTTTACATATAGTAAGCGGTTTTTTTAAAAAAAAAAATATTTTTTCATGAGAATCTAAACAGAGTCATATGGGTAACGTTGCTACGGTAAGGACAGAAGGAAAGGAGGCTGACGCAGGTCCTTACCGATTTCTGCATCAAGCTAGGGTTACTCGATTCAAAGCTAACAGCGTAGTTCCTGTTGGCAACTTACGCTAAAGCCCATTAGAGAAGAGCCTAGCTAGGTCTTATAGCCGGACTTGACGTTTAACAACTTATTAAAAGATAGCGACCCACGGAGTTATTATAGTTTGTTACAGTATGGAAAATAGGTTAAAGGTCTAGTGTACCTAGGTAATATTAAATACCTGTGTTAGGTACTTACAATAGTAGCTGTAGCTTATCGCACATTTGACAAATGTTGGATAATATGAAATGGTAATGGTTAATAGCCCGGCCAAGTATTTCACCACTAACCTGACGCGTCGGTGTCCACGTTGAGCATCGGCGTCTATCCGTGTTATTTCCTATTTCCTAATTCCAAATTCGATAAAACAAAACATTGTTTCCCTCGTGAAAATTTGTAAATTTCCTGCAACGTTTCGTGATGATGTATATCACACCACGAGCGGATGATGAGAGCCTCAGTTATACTCCTAGACTTATTATATATAGGAGGTAACCATATGATGTCAACGACACCAGATACTGCTATCAGACTCGCGCGAACGGCGGAATTTTTTTTAAAATTTGGCCCACGCAACCCACGCAACCTTTGGTAGCGTTACAGCAGCTCGCGCGCTTAGAGTCCCATTCGTCAATTGATGGGGAAGGAGGAAAAAAAATATTTCAGTGGAGCTAATGGTCGACGATAGATACGCCACTGATAGGGCAAATTATTCTTTGGAGCCGAATTCCCAGCCTACGTCGCACTTGGTCGCGACGAAATGGACCCGGACCGGATCATGAGACATTTTCGGTAATCCCGTAGCCTGTACGTAGTCTGCCATACCAGCCAGCAATACCCAGCATACTACCTACTATGTATATACGTGGAGTGTGTTAGTCGTGGTTCCAAGTCCATAGTAGGATAAGTCTGAGAGAGCGATCAAAATCAAAATGTTTGGCTGAAAAGTAGTTCAAGTCTTGACCATACCGAGCTAGGTACACCTGGTACTGATGCTCTCTATACTGTAACCAATTACCCGTCTCGAAAACTTTTTTTTCTCCAGAAAGCCCATGCTATATCTCTTTAAAATCGCCGGCAACTGTTCCCGAGAAGCTTACTTTACCTTAGTACCTAGGAGGTGTCATATAAAACCCCCCCCTCACCCACCGACGCGCACACACGACCACGTTTCCCTTTCCCTTTCCCTTCCCCGTCCCCTCCTACGTGACTAATTCGGTACATACCTTACCTACCCACGGTCCTTCCTCCTTCTCCTCCTTCTCCTCCTCCCCCCCCCTCCGTCACTCTCGCCACGCCTTGTGTCGTCGAGTCGATTTAACTGTCGAGATGGACCCTGCTATCAGCGAGGGGGAAAAGAGTTCGAAGGAGAATTCTCTAACGAGCCATGTTCAGAAGGATGTTGAGGCTGGCGAAGACCAGCTGCATCGGGGGCTTCGCAGCTACCACTTGCAGTTCATCGCCATCGGAGGAACGGTCGGAACCGGTCTGTTCCTAGGAAGCGGGGAGGCGTTGGCGACGGCGGGGCCTGTTGGCTGTCTCATCGCCTTCCTTTTCGTCGGCTCGATCGTCTTCTCCGTCATGGCGAGTCTGGGCGAGATGGCTTCCTTCATCCCCGTGGCCGGCAGTTTTACCGTGTACGCTTCCCGATTCGTCGATCGCTCTCTCGGTTTCGCCATGGGTTGGATTTATTGGTTCAGCTGGTCCATAACGTTTGCCCTCGAACTCGTAGCAGCCGGTGTTATCATCCAGTATTGGAACTCGACTCTCAGCATTGGAATCTTCATCGCCGTTTTCTGGGTGGTCTTCACGGGCGTCAACTTCTTGCCTATCCGTTATTTTGGCAGCTTCGAAATGTGGTTCTCTAGCATCAAGGTCGTCACTATCGTCGGCTTCATCATATTTGCTATTTGTATCGATGCTGGCGTGGGTAAGAACGGGTATCTCGGATTCAAAACCTGGGTACACCCTGGTCCTTTTGCTGAATCCATCAAGGAAGGAAATACTGGGAAGTTTATTGGGTTTTGGTCCGTTCTGGTCACCGCTGGATTTAGCTACCAAGGCGCGGAGCTTGTCGGTATTGGTGCGGGAGAGACTCACGACCCGGCAAAGAACGTCCCAAAGGCCATTAGGTGGACGTTCTGGGGGATTCTGTCTCTTTTCGTCTCGACCATATTTTTTATCGGCTTGCTCGTACCATTTGACAACCCCGATCTCCAGATCGGCACTCAAAACGCCTCGGCATCGCCCCTTGTTATCGCAGCCAACCTCGCTGGTGTTTCCGTCCTCCCCCATATCATCAACGCCGTCCTGTTAACTGCCGTACTGTCCGCTGCCAACTCAAATGTTTACTCTGGAAGTCGAATTCTCGTCGGGTTAGCCTCGGAGAGAAATGCCCCTGCATTCTTGGCCCGCACGAACAAGTTTGGAACTCCCTATTTCGCAGTAGCTGTCACTTCAGCCATTGGCCTTCTCGCTTTTATGAACTTGTCGTCTAATGGTAGCGACGTCTTCAACTGGCTGCTGAACATTACTGCCATAGCTGGTTTCATCACCTGGTCCTGTATCAGTGTCTGCCACTTACGATTCATGGAAGTCATAAAGGCCAAAGGAATTTCCCGAGAGAATCTTCCATATGCGGCACCATTCCAGCCGTACTTGACTTGGTTCGGTCTGTTCTTCTGTGTGTTGATTCTCCTAACAAACGGATTTACAGTTTTCATTGAGTGGAAAACTAGCGATTTCTTCGCGGCATATGTTAGCCTTATGCTGTTTGTTGTGCTCTTTGTGGGGCACAAGCTGATATTCTGGACAAAGCCCATCAAACTAGCTGATGTAGACCTTGACCGTGACAGAATCCAGCACTAGTTTCTAATATACACGTAAATAGTTTATAGCAATTTTTATTATGATTATACCCTTACTATCGAATATTGGATTATATACATCTTGTTGTCATTAGGAATGGTGCCAAAGAAAGCCGTAGTGTAATAACCAAAAAAAAAAAAAAAAAAAAAAAAAAAAAAAAAAAAAAAAAAAAAAAACCCAAAAAAAAAAAAAAAAAAAAAAATAAAAAAAATAAAAAAATAAAAAAAAAAAAAAAATAAAAAAATTAAAAAAAAAAATAAAAAAAAAAATAAAAATAAA